TCATCATGTTAAACAATATTGGATGGTGTTGGAGCAAACCATTATTTACCTCAAAAAGGCAGGAGGTCATGAATAGTAATTCAGCACGTTAAACAATATTGCATGGTGTTGCAGCAAACCATAATTTCGTTGTAAAAGTATATAATGTCTACAATCAAACGTATGAATGAAATTTCATTGATTCGTTTGATTTTCTTCTTATTTACTTGTACATTTAAAATGTAAATGACAGAGCTAATGAAAGCAAAGTTTCCCATGTTACTATGTGTTTGTTGCTTGGTTTACACTCCGGTACTGCCTACTCTCTGAAACATCCATGGATTTCTACCGGACTACACGACATCACATGATATAAAGTATGATTCTTCAAAGTGTCACATAGTTTCGTTTTACGCTATGCGTAAGTAGATTATCTGTTTAGAGAGAAGGACAACAGTAGATATGGTACGTGTTTGTTCTGTAACTGCAGAGGCGAAATCGAGAGGTTCCTTTTTAAAAGGTATCCCTGTGACAGGCCGTGGAGGCCTATAGGGTTGTGAGACACATTTTCTAGACAATCGGCTCACTGATGGCGGTAAGGTTGTCAGTCTTAAGCGTCTGTCGCACTTTATCTGCAGGAGTATTCCTGGTACTCATTTCTGTTAGAGGCTGAGTCGACCCCAGGACCATAGTGAGGCTGGAAGGATTAGGTCAATTGAAAATACAGTGACTAAATCGAGAATCGAACCACAGACCTTCCGGCTTGTAGAACAGTGCCTCAACCAATTACTCTGCTGCGTGTCTCCTAGGCTCGCTGTTACTGTATTCAAAAGTTGGATCCACTTTCATATATTTTTAATTACCAGACACGTAGGATAATGAACATGCGTGCTTTCTATTGCATTATTGCACCATTATATTGAGAAAAAAATATAATGCGCTTGTTTTAACAAAAAGTACTCCTGTTTCGTGTAATTATCGGACTGAATTCACGTTACTCTGATTAAGTAGACTATTATGAGATTAGAAAACTGGTGTCAACAAAGTTAACGGACGAACTTTCACTTTTGTGGCATATAAACCATTTGCACAAGCTAAATTGTCACGTTTCCAAACTCCAGGTTTCTCCTCGAAGCAGTCCATAAATCAAACAATTTGACTTGTGACCGCCTAAGGAAGATCAGCATGTGTTCTCTTTTCCTACCGTTAATATTACTCGCACATATCCCATCGTTACTTAACGGTGAGTAAATAAGCAATGAAATAATTTATACGTGGTAGAATCATTAAGTTCGTGGAATTTGGTTTTAGCGCATCATATTACAAGGTATTTACATACACTTACGCAGATCCACATCGGCCCTCAAAATAGCTGCCGTTGGTCGCTATGCAAGTCTGCCAAAGTTGATATAGCTGCCGATAACATTGCTGAAACATACTGACAGGAAATTCCCGTACAACTTTTCGCGGATATTCCACGAACTTATTGACTGTTGTAGTATTTCTTAGACTGTACTATAGGTAGAGGAATTCACTTCAGCAGTCATACGTATTCAGTATTATTCACGTATACTATCCATACAAAGCCTGCAATTATTATACAGTGAGTCACTTTCACATGTGCTAGCATGATGAAAGATGCTGGTGATTTATATGAAAGGTTTTCATATATATAATATTGTCACGTGTCCATGGTTATGTGACTAATAATAACGAGTTCTTGTTAGGATGATTGGTTTTATTAACTCTTTCTTTTACAATCTCTCTTAATCACAATCAATTATAGAGCTATCGTTAATCTACCCACTTCATAAATCACTAGGACATGCTCCATTCTCGTGCTCGTACCCCTTGGTACTCCTGAAAAAAGTTAAATTTATGTTACGACCAACGGTCAGTCTGTCAAGTCTATCTTAGAATAAAGCACCAGATCTTTATTGCTCTCAGGCAGTTGTAGAATGCGTTTAGCGACCCGTTGCCTAGCAATAGGCATGGCGTGGACCACACAGAAAACAATTCTTGCAATACCTTCCCTATTGTTGCGTGAGCGGATTTTGGGAGTTGCCTAGAAATGGGTCTACCTGTCAAAATATTCAATACGTTTAGGCATTTTGTGTTCTCACATTAAGAAGGGTAGCTTTCTCATCTTGGTGTCATACATAAAATAAACACTAAATCAGGCCGATTTGTAGTCATTCATACCTACGTTCAATTTTGCAGTTTTCGATTATTACCTCGAAATGTACTTGTGAATACAAGAATTTCAGTTTCTTGTGTGAAAGATCACGAGAACATATTTCAGGAGCCCTGCGGCTAATGTTTCAAATTCAACAGTACCATTTCTTATAAACTATGTGATTAAAACGACATTTTTAATAATTTTCTCTCATTGTTAGGGAAATGTTTCTTCTGAACATCACTTTCTGTCTCAAGAAATGCGAAAGGCAAACAAAATCTACGGAGAATATTTCCAAAATCAAACTTACACCACTTTTCTAAGACCTTACGTGATTGTAAGGTACTATATAATAGATATTTCTATGTTTAGATTCAAATCAGTTCACTTCGAACTTTTCTTAAAGATGTGACAGAAGAGCGAGTATTTTGGAATTATTTTATACTTGTATATTGGCGCAGATAACTTATGTTCAATATTCCTATTATTATGGTCATTATACTATAAATTCTGTAGTGGAAGTTATTTTTACAATAATAGGAAGAATACAATGCGTGTAGGCCATTGTTCTTGTTGGCTCTGATGAAGGGCTGCCTAACAGCGAACCTACAATTAAAAGGGTTCCATACTGAGGAATTTATACAACTGAAAGTACGAATTAAATATACGACAGATATGAGAAAAATGACGAATACAATATCTGTACCACAGAGAGACAAAGCACAATTCACTGAACTGCGGGCCTAATTGTCAACGCTGCTTTACTGACAAGAAGAATTCTCACTGTTGAGATGAAAGTAGAATGGATGAGCCATCCATAAGTTAATTGACATGTAAAAGGTAAAAGGTAAAGTTGTCTCTGTGCTTAACTAATAAATTACTACGCCACTAAGGCGTATGGGGGAGTGGATGTACAAATCCATATTTTCTTCAACTCGGCACTAGTTGTAGGTGAGTGGTCAGCTTCACGCCTCTGCCGCTTTACCTCTGGGGAAAGGGCCCCCGGTACCAATTGGATAGTAGTTTGAGTGGACCCCAGAGCCGGTCTGAACGACATGAAGAAGTGAAAATTTTTGCTCCCACCGGGACTCGAACTCCGACCTCTCGGTAGTCCAGCCTGTAGTCAGTCGCTATACCGACTGCGCTATCCTGGCTCCTCCAATTGACATGTAAGTGAAGGAAAGGTATAGGCTGTCATAGATAGCAAGACAGACATACGTAAGAATTAAATAAGTATGTTACGTGTATTGATACTTATAGAATAATCCTTTGGGTGCAAGGTAATATGACTGCAGGGAGCAAGAGAAACAAACATATCATTGTGGCGACTGGTGAAATTTTTTTAAAAAACTATCACCGTTATGATGTTACGAGTTTTATTTTAATAGAACAGAAAGTATTGTTCTTGTCTTTCGTCGGTCCCATCTCCCACTGTTGGCTATTGTTATTCGTAATCAATTTTACTTCGTCTTCCGCTTTTGTCACTTGCTGATATGTAATCCATATCTCGGGATTAAGGGTTGCAGTGTCTTGTCATTCGAATTAAGAGACGAATGTTTACGTTAAATAACTACACATTAAGGACACAGTTTCTGTTGAAATGCACAGGGGAGAAGATCTGTTGCCCTGACGGGGAATGCTACTCCATGGACCCTCCGTGGCGCTCACTCATACGTCCAGTTCCAGCCCCTAACTGCGTCGAGAAGGTCCAGTATCTGCTGTACACCAGGTAACAATTCGGTTATACATTCTCACTATGGCCTTCGTTGTAACATCATGTAGTCTTGTAGATAGAACCAGGTGTTTCGTAGGAAAATATTACTTCCATCTTCACGGGGAGAGTAGAATAGGGATGTGAAAAGGTTGCGAGTAAGAAGGCAGACTACGACGAAGTTGGGGAGAGAATAAAAAGACCGGTGAACATGAAGTGTGAGAAAATTAGTCCCTTTCAGGACCCGATGCACAGTACCGCAAGAGGTGACTTTAATTTAATTAAATTCTGTTGGATATGAAGTTCTCTCCCACCTCTGTGGTCTTGTGGTCGGAGTTCCTGGCTACAGACCCAGAGGTCCGGGTTCGATTCCCGGCGCTACAAGTTTTTCTGAGAAGTAATGAGTCTGGAACGAGGTCCACTCAGGATAATTGAGAAGCTATTTCAAGGAAATAAGGGCTCCGGTCTAGAAAACCGAGATTAACGGCTGTGGGGATTCGTTGCGCTGACCACACAACACTCTCTATCCGCAAAAGTTGGTATTAACTTCGCAGACAAGCCTCTGTCGCTCGGTCGGTATAGTAATCTTGCGGACTACAGACCACGGAATTTGCTTTAAATGTGCGTAGGTTACGTGGAAGATAAAGACAAAGACAGGAGGAAGCTATCAGTGATCTATAATATCTCTTATAAATGTAAATTTGTCTCTGCATCTGAACACGATTTCAAGGTTACGTAGGGCATTAGACAGAAGTCAATGATAATGTTCATATTTCGGTCAGTCGATGGGTCCCAGAGACCATCTGGACGCAGTTGCAAACAAATGTTTCTGTGTGATACTAGGTTCTCAAGGCGGTTCTCACGACACGTCCCATCTCCGTTGAAGCTCAACTGGCGTTTCGGAGTAATATTTCGCTTCCGTCTTCAAGCTCTTCTAGCTACCTTCTTCATGCTGATTTATGCTTGGCCTGTTCTTGGACCTTGAAGATGGAGGCGACATGTTCCTCGCAAACGTCGGTCGACTTTCCATGGACTGCATGGCGTTCCGTCCCGTAAGACAGAAATCTTCGGAAATATTTCTCTCTCTGCCATGGACCGAATCCTGTTTATACAGCTTCACTGAGAGTTATCCCTGCTCATGCGAAATGATATTCACACATTTTGCTTTTACATAATACATAGCGCGATTTGGTTATTGTTTGATTGTAACAGGATTGATATTAAGCATATTCGCTTAGGCCATGGACGTTTGCGGGAATACATGTGCTTCGGAGGACTTACGGTACTTCGGCCGCCTTAACCTTTACTACCGGAAAAGGAAGAGATTCGCGATATCAGAAATAATTCTGAGGCAGAACAGCTTATAGAGTCCAATACGTGGCACGACAAAAATAAATATATAAATTTCATGTTGTGCTCCTGTGAGTCATAACATCCTGTATTCTCATAGGTAGAGTCGAACTTTTATACCACCCCGAACAAGGAGGTAGTATGTTACTCCAAAAATCTGATTCCCACCTATCACACTACACGGTTACATACTCGTACATGAGAATATCGCAGTAAAAATCTTCATCACAGTGAAAACCTCAAACGTTAAATAAGAACAAATTTCAAGGAAATCTGTGAACTGAAAAAGCAGCAGAGGGAAATTAAAGATTTTCAGGACACGAAAATAGACTTCTTTTTCAGTGAAATAATTTTCGAAAGCGCTACATAGGTCGCTCACAATTTATAATGAACCATAACTTGTGACATTAATAATTTCACACCTCGAAATCGACATCCGATATAATGCTCCAGATATAAGATACTTGACTTCCGTTGCAACATTCTTGTGCGTATTTTTGGCCGATTTTGAAACCAATCTTCCGCGCTCAGCCACAATGTTGTCACCATTTGGGTGCCTGTAATCTTTATTTACAAATACTGTTTTTACATTTATTGTGCTTTCATTATATAAACACAATTCAACGTATTAACATGGGTTGACAGGGATAGCTCAGTCGGTATAGCGACGGGCTAGGGGATGGAGGACTGTATTAAATTCCCGACAAGGGTAAGCTTTTTCTTTTCTTCATAGCGTCCAAGTCTCTTGCTCAGTTCTTACTGTTTGCGATTTTTCCGGGGATAAAGCGGCAGGTGCGTGAAGCCAACCCTTCAACCTCCATCTAGTGCATAGGTGCAGAATGCTGGAGCTACACCTCCACTCCCCCATATGTCTTTATGGCATAGAGCTCAGTTAATTAGGCACATGGACAACTTTGTTTTTCTTATCATGGGTAATAACAGGAAAAAGTAGCAGTGGTAGTTTTGTTGGTGAAAGCGAATAAAGCACACGTTTTATGCAAAACTTGATATGCTCAAACGTGCAGATGATGATTCGCTGAGGGACTTAACGCTATCGTAAAACTTGAATACTTAAACGGTGGGAACGATTTACAAGAACATAAATTCTTAACACGTGTAATGAACGATAGCACTGTAAATATAATGCAATGTTTATTTTAAAATTTATAACCACAACTGGCACAACCAAAATGCCGTCACTGCCGAAAGAACCATCCAGCAAATTATCGAGGTTGTGAGGTGATTAAAGAACTCCCAAAACTTAGAGATAAGAAGAATAAACCAAAACAACAAACTAAAACAAATAAGCAAATAGTAAGAATAGCTCCCAACAATGGACATAAAAACAACTTTGGGAAAACCTATAGTCAGGTGGCATCTAGCAGCATTGCTGAAGCAGCACACGCCGCAGATACTGATAACAGGTTAGCACAAATAGGGAAAATGCTAAAAGAGCAAAACCTGCGCCTCAATAAAGTCGAGAGCAGCCTTAAAATGACCACTACTCACTAACAGCTAACTCCTTACGTATAATGGAATGGAATGCGAACGGATTGCTACAGCACCAACACGACCTACAGGTAATCCTGAGCACGGAGAATATTGACATATGAACTGTCTTCACTCGCTCGAACGCTTGGATCGTGGGTTCGTATCCCACTCAAGACATAGATGTTTGGGGTGTGTGTGTGCGCGTTTATTCTGTGTTTGTGTTGTCCTGTGTTTAGGTAGAGGCCTTGTGACGGGCTGATCACTCGTCCACGGAGTCCTACTTTCTGTGAAAAATTATTACGGAACTGAATAAGAGGCCAGGGCTCTGAATGAGTTGGAAGAGCCAGTAAAAATATATGCTTTCCGAGGTCTTGAAATTTATCTAATTTTAATATGTGAATCTACGGGAAATTGATGTTCGACTTAACGATTTTCAGCAACGCATCAGAGCCATAAAGTCGGTTTGTAATAAACTGATGTCTCCTGTTCCGCAGGTCAAACCCTTCTACTGCTTTCAACTTTTCATCAGAAAACACATCATTGGAGGGTTCTTACTTCGATGCTAGTAAACCAACGATGTTTTTCTTTCATGGCTGGAGGGGCTCGGTAATTCATAGCTCTCACCCATCAATGGCATCGAGTTATTTAGTCAGTGTAAGTACTTCAAACCGAGAGCCATGTCATGTTGAAAACACCGGTTCTCGTCCTATCACTGACGGTAAGCAACGTTATATATGGTTAGTACTTGGATGGGTGACCTCTTGGGATCACAGTAGTCTGAGGTATGAATCGTCTTCGCCAGGTCGAACATTGGGTCGTGGGTTCCAATCCTATGCGAGAGATGGACGTCGGTGTGCGTGAATCCTCTGTTTGTGCTGTTCTGTGTGTAGGTAGCGGCCTTGCGACCGGCTGATCCCCAGTCCAAGGAATCCTACCGACTGTATCAATAGGATTACGGAACTGAAGAAGCGGCTAAGGTCCAAAGGGCTGCAGAGCCATAGAGAGGTAAGTACTTCAACATCATCTAGGTATTTGGCGAATTAATGCTCTCAACGAGTAAGAAGCAAACAGTGGGAAGCTAGATTCTACATCCCTTGTTTTCAGAGAGACTTTTCAACCAGCGATTCACTCACATTGCCCTTGTTCTCAGCGGAGGCAAGTTTGATATGATGTCTAAATGGACATAGTAGCAATGAACTTAATCCAGTATTTTTCATGCACTATTCAAGCTTCAAAATATATAGAAGGCAACTGAAGGACACGATTTTAATAATTTTCACCTTGCCCCATCCATATACTATGGCGTATAGACCGTTGAAAGTGGTGGCTGTAAACAGCGACCGTTTCTTTGCATCGGCTCGGTAAACACGTTCCCGTTGCTAGACAGTAGATTCTTAATAATGCAACAGTTGAGCTTCACCAATGGTGACAGTGTGTTTTCTGTGTGGTTCGTGCCGAGATGTTATAAACAAGAGATAAATTTAGTTGAAGGGCAGTTCTGTACGGAAATCTGTGAAGATAAAACCTGAACACGTGAAGCTGAAGAATCTCCACTGTTATAAGCCACTGCCAGGGAACGGCTGGTGAAGACACAGCAGACTGGGGAAAAAAGGCTTAGCATGTGCTGTGGTGAATTGTGAATTTTAGAGATTAGCGGTGGTGCTGTAATTGCTTGTAGTTAGAAGTCCTATGTATAAATGGTTAATAAATGGAGTCACTAAACCAAATCCCGTCTATAGTCACACCCATACATGGTGACAATACCATAATTTGGTAGAGCTATTTTATTTTAATTAAATTGTTTTTTTTTTATTTTAATGTTCTCATTTTTAAGGCAGTTTAAGGCGTTGATAAAGACTTGTTAGGCATTATTTTAAAAAATATGTTTGTGTAACAGCACTTTAGAATTTACTGTCACAGTACAAAAAGTAAAAGATAAGTGACGTGTAAAAGTCTCGTCCTGTCGGCCTATAATTTGATTGGCGAATGCAAGATGTTTACTAACAACATATTTTTATTCTTCTTTTTTTTATCTACGTTTCACTAGAATGAATTTGGAAACATGCAAAAGGAAACTATGTGACATATTTTGAGGTTATACCTTTCCATTTAGCGGAAGGGCCGAAGTAACCACAAAAAAAAACGCAGCCAGTACAACCAGTTTCTGGACCGAGATTTCAACCCAATATATCTGAAATATGAAGAAGCGTTAACGTCTTGGCCGCAACCTATGGTGAGATGCCAGATTAACCCAAGTTTTGAGAGCACACCTCTACAGAAGTCAAGATACACTGTTAAATGGGGAAAAATCCTTGAGGAAAATATATTACCCTTCCTACAAGAGAGACATGAACTTATGATACAGGAACTCTTTCAGAAATTATAATCTAATTACAAGCTGGGTATGAGATTATCTGCGTTCTGTCCAAGATTCATCATGTTTATCACCATCTTTGTCACCTTGTACAAACATAGTTGAAAGGTTTTCCGATGTTGTGTATATTTATCAAACACTAAAGAAACCCAGATTTCAACCCTACTAGCATATGGTGAGTCTGATTTTGAAATATGTTTGTATCTGAAGCAAATGAACATCAAGCTCAATAAGCCGGTAAGTTAATATAAAATTCTACTAGGATATCACAACTTGACTCCATTCAGGAAATATGGCGTAAATAAAATGTTGCTTCTTTCGAGGATAAAGAAGGTTTCGAATTTCAGGATGTAACAGAAGCTTGAGTAAATACAACATTTTGTCTCTTAAGAAAATATCATCAGAAAGAACAATAACAAAATGTCCATTATACTGATATTTGCCAACTTTAGCCACATTCTCACTGTATCTTCCGTCCTTCAGCTTCGTTCAATTTATACTGCTTTACCCTGAATACAATGACAGAAAATTGTAACACAGTTCAAAACTTTAAACAAATTTACATTTTGAAGAAAGCAGTCTTCTGGGATTTGGCACCATGTATATGTGGTGTTAACCGACGTTTCGGAGGAACGTATCGCCTCCATCTTCAGGGTAGAAGAAAAAATATAAGAAATCTGCAAAGCGGAGAGACCGTGAGAACCGGTAAAAGCAGACTGGTTCTCACGGTCTTTCCGCTTGCAGATTTCTTATATTTTTTCTTCTACCCTGAAGATGGAGGCGATACGTTCCTCCGAAACGTCGGTTAACACCACATATACACGGTGCCAAATCCCAGAAGACTGCTTTCTTCATAGTCACCGCCGTGAAAGCCTCAAATCTTACAAATTTACATTTTATTTAATTAAGTGAACCTCTTAAAAGAAAGAGTGAAAAGTGTCACCTCTTGGCAAAATTATATTCATTGCTGGTTCCTAGATGCCTTTTAATATTATAATGTAATATTTCAGGTTGATGCCAACGTCTTTCTGGTTGATTACAGCGATGTGGCTAGTAATTTGTACTATCCACAGCCTGTATCGGATCTCAGAGTATTAGCCAGAATTGTAGCAAGGTCAGTATATTCTACCATGTCTTTATGAAAAAGAAACGATGTATTTATATTGATACGGTGCTCATTTTGTATTAGTCTCCATATCCATTGAATTCAATATGATATTATCCAAAAGCTTCAATATTTTATCTTGTTACTATCTTCCAGGCCGCCCCTGTGGTCTAGTGGTCAGAGTTCCTGGCTACAGATCCAGAGTTCTCGGGTTCGATTCCCGGCGATACTAGGTTTTCTGAGAAGCGTTAGGTCTGGAACGGGGTCCACTCAGCCTCATGAGGACAATTGAGGAGCTATTTCAAGGAAATAGCGGCTCCGATCTAGAAAACCAAGATTAACGGCCGTGGGGATCGGTTGCACTGACCACGTGACACCATTTATCCGCAAAAGTTGGCACTAACTTCGACAAGCGGCGATCGCTCGGTCGGTATAGTTCGCTTACGGATTACAGGCCACGGAGTTTGTTTTATGTTTGTTACTGCCTTTCAGATCTCCCTCTGGGCTACCATTCTATATATGGTGGTGAAGTTTGTATGTTGTCGCCTGGAGATCTGATCTGTCGGGGGCATAAGCTAGGCATATCTCTGGGCAGGGGTCAGTCAAAGGCAGGCCTTGACACTCCAGTTTGAGCGCTGACATGAGGCACATAACCTCATCTCGATAGCTGGACAATTTAAATAATAGACAAAGGAAAGCTAATAAGGACGAGTTTTCTCCTCATACTCCTAAAGGGCGTAGTGTAGGTAGATAACCCGAGAAAGCTGGCCTAAGAAGTGCTTTGTGTTTAGGATGTGATCTCGGCCACGACATTTGTTTCTGGCTTTCTCAGTCTCTCGAGGAAGAAACAGAATAACTTAAATTAGGCTGCTGTCGTTTCCTTCCAAATCCTTTCCAGATCACTATTTACGAATCAGATTCATATTCAACGCAATACAGACAGAGATACTAATATTGTCGTTAACTACAAATCTGTACAAAATATGCTCAGAATTGTTTTCTGGAGCTGAAAGTGAAATGATGGAGGCGAGGAACATATGATGAGGCAGGAATCGTCAATTGGAATTGTTTGAATTGTTTCATATTTGGTCCGTTACACTATCAATCACAAATTGTCAATGAATAATCCGTCGATTGTAACAACGTTCTTAGGTCACTTATTTATTTCACTCGCCTTACATGTTTCGGTTCAAAAGAAACGTGCCTCTGATGATGGTTTCTTTTGAACCGAAACATGTAAGGCGAGTGAAATAAATAAGTGACCTAAGAACGTTGTTACACTCGACGGATTATTCATTGACAATTTATGGTCAATTGGTCTTAGAGAAATGTACAGCCAAGGAGGATTTTTTTTTACTTACTTGGGGTGGGACGAGACTGAGTCCACTCGGTACGTCGGCCACTACTTGGCCTGTTGTACCAGCCCCGAATGATAAATGATAATGAATGTGGAGCAGTCGGTGAAATAAGAATTGGCGGGGGAAACCGAAGTACTTGGAGAAAACATGCCCTAGGGCTCCTTTGTCCACCATAAATCACACATGACCTGACCTGGGCTCAAACACGGACCGCCGGGTTGGGAAGTTGGCGACTAATCCCCTGAGCTATGGCACGGCCTGAGTAAGTATGTTTACTGTGTTATAGAGGGGCACGCTGTAGCATAGTTCGTAGAGGTACCATGCTATAAGCCGGGAAGTAGCGGGTTCATTTACCGATCAGGTCATTGAATTCTACAATCTACCTAATCCTTCCAGCCGCATTATGACCCTGGGGTCGACTCAGCCTCTAACAGAAATCAGTACCAGGAATCTTCGTGATGGGTAAAGGGCGGCCGGCGCGTAAGGCTGACAACCTTACTGCCATCTGTGAACTGATTACCTAGAAAATGTTGGAGCCTCGACGCCTCACAGCTCTAAGGGTCTCCGCGGGATAGATTTACCTTACCTTTACTACATTTCAGAACTCCGAAGAAAAAACTTTCGTGGCCTAGACGTGCTATATATTTGAATGACTAACATGCGACAATATGTATGATGTTTCTTTCCTTTCAGTGACAGTAATTATTCTTTTGTCACAAAGCACAGACTTTCGTAACTCCCAGCCGGGGAAACGGACCCCGGCACGCGTTAAATTAAGAGATTAGGTGGGCCCGAAATCAGGTCTAGACGCTATGAAGAAGAGAAAAGTCTTCACCCGTGTGGGGAATTGAACCCGGGCTGCCTATTCTCTAGGCCGTCTCTATACCCACTGAATAATGAGTAGTACAAGAGATAATGTTTCGATTATTATTTCAGGTTTGTCAGATATATAGTGGACAAGAAAGGGGTATCCAAGGATGGTATTCACCTGATGGGATTAAGTTTAGGAGCACACCTGGTTGGTTATATTGGAAAGGAAGTTCCTGGGATTCGCAGAATAACAGGTAATACATTTGTTAATATGTTTTGGGCTGATTATTTTAAGAACGTGGAGTTTCTTCCTACACAGTGCCGAAGGGTACTGTGAGAATAATAAATTTGGAAGATGTGAAAAGAAATTTTCATGGCCTATTGTGGTTTTCTATGGGTGTGAAACTTGGTCGCTGACATTAAGGGAGGAACATAGACTGAGGGTGTTCGAGAACAGGGTGTTGTGGAGAACATTTGGACCGAAGAGAGATGAAGTGGCAGGAAGTTGGGGAAAACTACATAATGAGGGCTTCATAACTTGTACTCTTCTCCAAGTATAATTAGAATGATCAAGTCAAGGAGGGTGAGGTGGGCAGGTCATGTAGCACGAATGAGGGAGACGAGGAATGAGTATAGGATATTGGTGGGAAAACCAGAAGGAAAGAGACCAGAGGGAAAAACAAGTCGTAGGTGGGTGGACAATACTAGAATGGATCTTAGAGAGATAGGATGGGATGGCATGGATTGGATAGATCTGGCTCAGGATAGAGACCAGTGGAGGGCTCTTGTGAACACGGTGACAATTATATCACTTTATTGTGTACAGACCTCACCAAGTTACCCTAGACTCGACTTTCGCAAGTTCGATGTAAATTGTCCCACATGGCACAGAATACAATTTCCGAAGATGCGAAAAATTTTGTGTTACGAGCTGAAACACAAAAAAAAAAGGGGGCTGGTGCGTGTTTGAGTAGTACGACTCCACCACCAGACCCTATCCTGAGCCGGTTGGATCAATTTCACTTCCTTAAACCCTATGTTATAAAATCCATTTATTACTCTTGTTCCATCAGTGTCTAGATCTTCCAAGCGGGTCCTTCCCTTTATGACTTGTAATAAAATACTTCTTAAATTATGAAATACTGCGAATATTACATACTCTTCTTGTGGATATAACATCCACACTGCATAGTAAATAGACAACGGTTATACCAACAAATGTGGCATAGACTCAGGAGCTATATTGACTTCATTTAGAAGTATAAAATGTACGAAAAGCAAAGATCGCAGTAACGCAAATATCTCAGCATTTCCCCCGAACTTCCACTCACCTGGTGATGGCCTATTATGTCGAAACATACAGTGAAATGGCAAATTTTAAAAGGATAAATTTTAAATGTTAAAATTATTTCATGGTGAATGGTAAACAAATATAGATTCTAATTCCAACTACAACATGATACTAAAACACAACAGTATGATCTAGTGCTGCAATCATGAGTTGAATATGAAATATCCATGGGGTACGTCTTCTGTTGAGAATGAAATCACTGAATATATTTGAATTTATTTATTGCATTTCCCATGGGATCCATTACACTGACCACGCGGCACTCTCTATCCGCAAAAGTTGGCACTAACTTCGCCGACAAGAGGAGGTGGCTCGATCGGTATAGTTCTCTTGCGGACTGAAGACCATGGAGTTTTGTGTTTGTTTTATTGCATTTCCCTTTACAGGCCTGGATCCGGCTGGACCACTGTTTAAAGGGGAGGACTGTCAAGTTCGTCTATGCAAAGGAGATGGACAATTTGTGGAATCGGTTCAAACAAACAAGAAATATGTTTTGGGGTTTGGAACTCCCCGTGAAGACTGTAAGTACATATTATTGTCAAGAACCAAGATGCAGAACATTTATATTTCTCTCGATGAAAATAGTACTTGATACAGGGTGTAATTTTTCTTCAAGAACATTTTTAGTTACAGACACTCTAATTCAGTGTTGTTATTCTAAATTTATTGGAAAAGGACCTCTCGTGTTGTATCTCTAAAATATAACAACATATGAACTATTTGGGCATTAAATGTTATGTATTTCTTTTATAAACATTTATGTCTATTTACTGATAAAAGGTGCGCCATAGCTCAAACGGTTAGTCGCTGGCTTCTCACAGCGGCGGCCCGGGTTCGATCCCGGGTCTGGTCAAATGGGATTTGTGGTGGACAAATTGGCGCTGGGGCCAGTTTTCTGCGAGTACTTCGGTTTCCCCTGCCAATCTTCATTGTACCAAATTCTCCATCATCATAATCACCCGGGGGAGGCTACTATAGGCCAATCAGTGGCCGCAGTGCCGAGTGGACCCAGTTGGACTCCACCCCCACTAAACAAATTTAAAAAAAAAATACTGACAACAGGTATATGCCCTTGTGATAACTACGCAAAAATGCAAATCACTGTCTTTGCTTACCACCTCGCATATTAATCCACCGCGCTTAATCAAAACTAATGCAGTGACTAAGTGTATGTTACGAAGACTCCTTTGGATAACTCATGGCTGTTCTTGTTCTCTTACGGAAATCGATGACTTCTTTAAATTCCGTTCCTAACTTCACTCTCTATTTCTCAAAGTAGAAAAGTGTCAAGATCGCCTCTGTGGTCGAGTGATCAAAGTTCCTGACTATAGATCCAGAGGACTCGCTGGCTCGGCGGGACTGATGGGGCGCACCAATATCGGTAGGGTATAGAGACTGGTAGAATATCATAGAGGGAAGCACAATGGACCAATACTGGTCTAAGTGCATGGGGAAAACCCACCCTCTCCAATAACTAACTAACTAACTAACTAACTTGCTGTAACCACTGACAGATTTAGGTGACTGATGGTTAAAATTATCCACGATTTGCCTAAAACAAACTGAACTTTCGATAATAAAAGGTGCAAAACACCCGAGATGACTTTATCGTACTGAGTATTATCTGCATAAAACAGGTCTGTATAATGTTTACACTATTTATTGCTTTATTTTTCAACAGATGATGTGACCTTTGCTATGAACGGCGGTATGGACCAGCCTTCATGTGGCATAGATTTGATCGACCTCGCAGTAAGTCACTCGCAGTCACGAAGCGACAACAATTCAAAAGGTAAAAGTGGATACAAAGGAATGAAAGTTCCCGTGCTTAGTTAATCAACACGCCATCACCTATCATTCCTGTGACAGGAAGGGTTAATAAAATACTGGAAAAAAAAAAGGTATCTGTATACACGCATCACGGATTAGCTTTGTCAGCAATAATAACAAATGTAGGCTTACCTCAACGCTCCATGATTTTCATGGGCCTATATTTAGAGTTTCCTCTTTTATGTGAAACTTTATAAATTTTCTTAGTAATTATTCATTTTATAAAGTCAGTCATTGGCCGACTGGTCAACATTTCTATTTTTCTTCACGTTGATGAAAATCTATGCCAATCAACTGAAAGAAATTTATTGGACTAATGTATAGAAATATTATATAATAGGCATTGAAAATATTATGCCGTATAAACATAACTTTCTGTACTAATCGAAATGTGTACACAGGTGAACGTTGTAGTAAGGCAGTGCAAAGTATTTAAGAGATAAATATTATATTATATCAACAAACAAGAATAAAGTCCGTGGTTTTAGTCCGCAAGCTAACTATACCGACCAAGCGACCGCAGTTTGTCGGCGATGTTAGTGCCAACTTTAGCGGACAGAGGGTGTCTCGTTGTCAGCGCAACGGACCCCCACGGCCGTTAATTTCGGTTTTCAAGACCGGAGCCGCTACTTCCTTGAAATAGTTCCTCAATTATCATCAAGACGCTGAGTGAACCCCGTTCCAGACGCATTACTTCTCATAAAATCTGGTAGCGCCGGGAATCAAACCCGGGAACTCTGGATCTGTTGCCAGGAACTCTGACCACTAGACGATAGAGATCATCATACGTATAAAATAAATCATAAGAATTAATGTATTTTGTATTCCCCGCTACAGAAGAATTACACTTGGAATTTAGGCACATTTTCTCACTCTTGATACTTTCATATATATACTCTTATGGCAGATGAAAATTACTGAAGGATCTTCAAGAATAACATAACTTTGTTCCGTCTTTCTTTTTTCATGCAGCTTTGGTCCCGTCATTGTCTTGTTCCCATGAGAAATCACAAGTGTACTATACAGAAGCTTTAAGGGTACCTAACTGCACATTTTGGGGAATAAAGGAGGACATATATAAAAGGCTTGTGAGGTAAGAGAAGTTATGTACAGATACATACGACTTGAGAGCGCATTGTTACGGGCTTGCATTTGGAAAATTTGTTGTGCAAATTGGCTAGGAAAAATTCACAACGAGCGCCTTAAAATATTATATTTATGGATTAATTCTCTAGTGTCTGAGACTTCTAGAAACCAAATGATGTAATGTAAGATCTGGATTCTTTTATATGCATTAATTTTTTGGAACTGAATCCATGAATTTGTAAGGGAACGAAATGACCTATCGATTCTTTATAATTTCTTGAAAATAAAATACTTATAACTAACAAACTAACGTCATGGAACTCAGGCTTCCTTGAAAACCCCCCAATTGTGCGGCTAATCAAGAACGTCCCAATATTTTATGGAATCCGAAGGTTTATTTGCGTGTTCAAAAAGCCCGTCACTGGTACCAATCGTGAACCAGATCAATCCAGTGCATACCATCCCATTCAGTCTCTCTATGATTCATTTTAATATTATCCACCCAACTATGTTTTAGTCTTCCTAGTGGTCTATTTGTTTATAGCTTTCCCACAAATATCCTATATACGTTTCTCTTCTCATGACATGCCAATCTCTTCCTTCTTGACTTCATGATTCTAAATAAGCTCATTAAGTCTGTCTTTCATATATTTCTTCTCTTCACGTCTAATCGTTAATATTATCCCAATTCATTTCTCTCTGATTCTGTAAGCACTGAAATTTGACTTGTTTCTTTTGATGTAATAATTCTGAGCATCCTTCGCTGAACCGTGGCATATGCTTCTTCATTTCAGAATAACTGAATATTTTGGTCCGATTTTCTTTATTTTCTCTAATAGTGTCCCAAGTACTCTTAATATTCACCTTAGTGTCTAGGTTTTCCAATGCTGCGAACCTATTTCAGATTTCAACACGATACTGCTCTTTGCCCTCATTTCATTTCTTGAGACTGGTCCTCTCCATATGAACTGTGTGTATTGTGTGTTTGCTCACTGCCAGTCTCCCTAATTTCTGCCACAAACAGTGGTCAGTGTCACAACTGCTGTGTTGAACAATCGGAAATCAAGTACATTTGAAATTCCTTCCCCTATCTATCAAAATATGGCCAATTTGACTGCGAGTCTTTTCCAGCAGGAGCTGTGCAAGTAAGTTTATGAACGTTATGTTGGACCATTGTACTTGTGGCAGTCAGTTTTTGAATGTGACTCGATTGTCATTGCTAATTTCGTGTGAATTTTAATTCCCAATGTTTGGTTTATACATATAGAAGTTTGGTTTGAAACTGTCTTCTATACCTTCTTTGGCATTGAAATTTCGTAATAAATATTCGTATGTTTTTTAAGGAATTTATCGAATGCACGGTCTAGTTTCACAAGTAATAATAATTAAATTAAATTCTTTATTATTTATCTGCCGAGTCAACAGCTACAATGCCAGTTACAGACAGAGCACAGTGTAGATGTAGGTAATTACATTATGAACAATCACAACATGAAGTCAAAGGCAAATTACAGGCAAGCACTGGAGAAAAACGCATTAATGCAGGCAGGTAAACAAATTATAGTAATAATAATAATAATAATAATTTCATTAACATAAATCTAAGTTGTTATTGAGAACTGAGAAATGAAACGTATATATATTTAATAGTAAAATGAAAAGTATAGATATTCAGAGAGTATAATAATAATAATAATAATAATAATTCAGTTTAATACTAATACTAATAATTTATATTTGTGCATATTTTTAAATCGATTTTGAAAAATTATTTTTCCATAAAAATTAGTATAAATATTAGTTTTGCGATTTCTTAAAATGTATTATCATCAAACTCTCCAGAAGTACACATCTTTTAAATCAGTTTATATTCATAGTGGTAGATTTTTAATACAAATTTAAATAATTTAGCAAAGAATCAGTAATATCTAACCACTATTCATGTCAATAATTTTTCAAAGATTTCGGAATTATTGATAAATTTTAAGTGTAGCGAGTAGGACTTTTTATAATTTTTAAGCTTTGAATGCACAAAATACAGCTGTCCAAAATAACAGAGACCAACCAGTTAAAAATATAATATTTGCACAGTTTCGCCTTACGGAAATAATATTTTATATTCCATTTTGTTCAATTAAGATACCACTTTTATATTAAGTCATATATTTTTTCATTTGTTAAATAAATATTTAATTTGGATTTTAACTTTATGTAATTTATTTCAGCTCTAGACATTTGTTAAAAATCATATCACCTGCTTAAAGTTTACGGTCTTTAAAACTTTGATGCCTATAATGTTCCCTCGCAAACAGTTGCGCTACCTTTATTCATGTCTGTTCACAGCGTACTGTCACTTGGTCACGGGGCAAAGATCTTTGTACCTTCCAGAGAGTGCGAGTTTCCAACATGCTTACCAATGGGAATTCATACGATAGATTACCCGGCTAGCGGAGTTTACATAGTGCCAACAAATACAAAAGAACCCTATTGCAGTAAGTACAACATTAATTCATGATAAGCAGTAAATTGCCAGTAGATCGTATATCGACTAATTTTAAGTTTACATCTATGAAGGTAATTTAATAAATTGTTTAAAAGTGATTCCAAATTGTATAGCATAAACTGCTGTAATAATGAAATAATGCGATTATGAATAGGAAAACAGAATACGCTAATGTATATATATTATTTATTATACTGCAATTGGGCTTTAGCCCGGTGGCAGTAGTACACAATAGGACACAACAGACAAGTAACACACATTACACTAAGTGACAACACGCTCAAACAAAACACAATACACAAAACACAACAATAAGGACATCCTACCACAGCGAATACAAACAAAATACGATTAACAACTACAACAATTACAGAGAAATACAAATAACTGCAACAAATACAACAACAACAAAGACATCCTACCACAATGATGTATAGGCTTATGTATGAAAATATCATTGAACAACAGAAATAAATGGCGGAATGTGTTGGCCAATTGGCAGCGCTCCTGCTTCCTGTTCTGAAGTTCAAACATCTGCCGGAGATGGCGTATCCTGACTGAGATTTCAAGCCATAAAGACGTATGAGAGAGTGGGGTCACAGCTCAACCATTCTTGACTTAAGCACTAGATTGATGTGAGTGGCCAACTTCACGTGCCGGCCTCTTTACCCACCGAGAAAGAGCGTTTTTACTCATTGGATAGGAGGCTATATAGATCTCAGAGTAGAGAAAAATATACCTCTGCAGTGAAGAGAACCCCGGCCGTTCAGCTCGTAGCCCGTCACTATGCCGACTCCGATTTCGACTCTAATGAAGTGAACAGAAAAGGTAAAGTTGTCCCTGTGCTTAACTAGTTAAGCACTACGCCAATAAGAAATATGGGGGGCTTCGGCATTAGTTGGAGTGAGTGGTCAGGATTACGCCCCTGCCTCTTAACCTCCGTGAAAATATCTCCCTGTACCCACTGGATAGGAGGTTCGGTGAACCCCAGAGCCGGTCTGGACAACCTGGAGAAGAGAAAATGTTTTACCCTACCGGGACTCGAAATCCCGACTACTCGGTCGTCCAGCTCGTTGCCAGTCACTATACCCACTACGCTATCCCGGCTCCAATGACGTGAACAAAGTAATTTAAAATCGAAACAGCTTATGCGTTACACAGTGGATAAATTTCAGTCCAGTGTGACATACAAATTTACAACAGTTCAGTCTTCATTCACCTTACATGTTTCGATTCAAGAGAATCATTCTCAGAGGCGCACCACTACGATCAGGAAATACAATACGTTAATATGTTACAATGCGTTAATACAATTCGCGTAGTCTATCCATAATAAGGCAGTTTAGTTGAAGAGTGCTTGATGGTTTTGTGTAGTGTTGCATTAGAGACGGTACAATATACTGTCTGGTGAGATGAATACTGTCATGTGAGGCGCGCGATTAAACTTTTTTCCCCCCTTGGCACTACAGCCCAGTGGGCCTAGGCCTACCTCCATGAACTTCTCCGTTCACTTCGGTTTTTTTCTAGATCTTACACATTCGGTAGGACTCCTTGGGCGGGTGATAAGCTCGTCGCAAGGCCTCTACCTGTACACAAACACAGAAAAACGCACACACACAAACTAAACATCCATGCCCTGAGTGGGATTCGAACCCACGATCCCGGTTTCCAAGCGAGCGAAGGCAGTGCATGCCTTAGACCGCTCGGCTACCGTGACCGGCCGCGATTAAGCTAACAGCTTCAAAATTGCTACTGACACTACACCATTATTGTATGAGTACTGCATATTCGTCGATTTAGACATGCTTTAACCCCAGTAATAATTACATACATCACGAATTGGCCGCGCCATAGCTGAAGCGGTTAGTCGCTGGCTTCCCACCACGGCGGCCTGGATTCGATCCCGGGTCTGGTCAATTGGGATTTGTGGTAGGCAAAGTGGCGCTGGGGCAGGTTTCCTCCGTCTACTTCTGTTTCCCCTGCCAATCTTCATTCCACCAATTGCTCCACAATCACCCTCACCTATCATCTGGGGCTGGTACAATAGGGCAGAAGTGGCCGCAGTACAAGGGACTTAGTCCCACCCCACTAGCATTAAAAAAATTACAGCGGGTTTTATAAAATATTTTGGTATAAATATGAAAGTTTCTCTGTATATTCTAAAGTTGTATGTGTGTATGTGTGTAAGGGTTGAGCCATAAAATCCGGCCCTCGCACTGCGACTTTCAGTGATCTATTGTGCTTCCTCTTTAGATTAAGCCTTTGTTAATCCTACACGTCGAATGAAATGTAGGACTTTATTAATGGGGCGTCATTAAAGTCACTTGGTTCCATGAAGAACTGACCCATTTAATGATATCTTATATAAGCTACGACCTCACAATCACATAGGATATGTGTGGCTAGTCTAAAGTCACTAATGTCGTACGTGTCACTGTTTTTTCACTATTCTGAAATTTTGCACACAATGAGGACACGTGCTTCTGTTGCAGTTAAAAAACCAGAGACAAGTGAAGATATGAAGGAAGTGACGATCTGGAACAAACCTCTAAAATTACTTCTGGGAATATTCTGAAGACAGTACAAGTTAAATCGGGTAGAAGAATGAAATCAGTGAATGATACAGCAGCGTTTTATGCATTCTATTGTATAATATTGAATGTGAAATTGTAAGTAATATTCGAATTGCAGTGTAGTTTTCTCTGTAAAGGCTGCTGTTGTGACACAATAAATATTTTAACAGTGTTCTTTATCACATGTGTACTCAATTACAACACAGTGCTTGAATTTTGAAATGTTTAGAGATTCAAATTATATAGATAAGCTCCGGGCACAACTTTCCTTCAGGACGCTTTCATCAACATTAATCAGTGTCGTAAACATTATTAAGCCACAATATTTTCATGCGTATAATTCTAATCCCAGAAATGCTTTGTTTTTGACCTTATAAGTCTGCAATCCAACAATAAAATTCAGTTTTGTTCATGATTAGCGTGTTGAGCTTGCGAGTATGTTGTCATAAGATTGCGTGTTGCTGGAGTCAAACAATTTATTTCTTTCAATTGCAAATATATTACATAATGATTATTAGTATTGTTGTTATTATGTAATTATTGCTGGAAAGAATTGCTGCGCAATGAAATTATTCTGCTACGTTATATTTATTAAATTTTACCTAAAATTTTCATGTAATATTTGTAACTGCTGACTTCTGATAAATTTCATTGTAATGTAGAACCATAAAGAAAATTTTAATTTAAATGCAGTACAAATTCACTCAATGATTTCTAATTTTTGCCCTAATTGCTATTTGTTTTTTAAATAATTGAGTCATTTGACGTCTTGTAAGATTTACCTATTATGATCCAGAATGAAAGATTTCTGTAGCTCTATCAATTAAATTTTTATTAAATATACTTACAAAACCTGGAAGAAGCTTCGGTCAGTTATTACCAAGAATAAGAGATTTCGGCAATACTCAGGTGTATTCAGGATATATATATGTTCTACATACAAGTTACTCAACGTACACATAGCTTCTCCCTTGTTCATTTATCTCCAAAAGGGTACAGTATACGGGAAAAGTGCTTTGGGTGTAATTAAAAAAATTAAATTCGCTTAGTGTGGGTTGGAGTCCAACTGGGTCCACTCGGGACGGCGGTCACTGATTGGCCTATTGTAGCCTGCCCTGGGTGATTATGATGATGGAGAATTTGGTGGAATGAAGATTGGCAGGGAGAACCGAAGTACTTAGACAAAACCTGCCCCAGCGCCACTTTGTGCACCACAAATCCCACTTGACCAGACCCGGGCTCGAACTCAGGCCGTCGCGGTGGGAAGCCAGCGACTAACCGTTTGAGCTATGACGCGGCCGCTTAAAATATGTATAACTATTTTCCCTTATTTGTTCGAAATATTCTATATCGTAAATATGTTGTTATTTACGCTCGACATACGAATAGAAATGCATGTATTGTTCATGCAAACTGCCCGTAAGTTCTATCAGAGTTAGAATAATTGGCATATGTTGAGAAATTTTAATAAATATAAATAAATCCTAATATCTGCAGAATCAACCAGCGGTCTTCGGTTCTTACTTGGTCTTACAACTAGAAATATACTTGTACGTATTTGAGCGTCACTATCATATGTAAGATTTAAGACTTCTCCCAAATACAACGAACTCAAGGAGCAAACGCAATCACATGCCTAAAATCCAACATAATAAATACTACATTAATATAAAACCAAGACGAATTCAAAAGAAATACATCCATAGAAGAAAAGCATCAACACAAAATTATTACATCCAGACAAACATAAGAAAACCTTTTATATACGTTTAACTTTAATTATTTAACGTTTGAATGATTACTATTTAAATTTAGAGATGAACTTGTCTTTTTATATATAACGGCATTACATACTACTAAATAACAAGTATTCCAATATGTAAACGCTAACCAATATAGGAATACTAGCGAAGAACACAGGTGTATATAAACAAGTCAAATATCGGATGATAGTTTAATGGGCCTAAACGGGTTGTAAGAAATGAGGAACGTATGGCGTAGCCATGATTCCTACTGTGGGGACGGAATAAAATAAAGAAATTGCGTCCACACAATAAGATGTTAAAATATAATATTTCTTGGTCTCACAAGTTCTGCCTTAATTCCCGGCTGGGGCCGCGCCATAGCTCAAGCGGTTAGTCGCTGGCTTCCCACCGCGGCGGCCCGGGTTCGATCCCGGGGTCTGGTCAAGTGGGATTTGTGATGGACAAAGTGGCGCTGGGGGAGGTTTTCTTCGAGTACTTCGGTTTCCCCTGCCAATCTTCATTCCACCAATTGCTCCACATTCACCCTCACTTATCATCTGGGGCTGGTACAATAGGCCGGAAGTGGCCCCAGTACAAGGGACTTAGTCCCACCCCACTAGCAATAAAAAAATTCCCGGCTAAGCCCTGGTCACTACATGTAGTACCGGTAGTTACATGCAATACACGTATTTAATTAAACAGATTGCTCCTGTTTTGAGATTTGCCTATATTGACATACTGGCCTAACATTCTACTACTCTCTGAGAGGCCATAGCTACAGTATCTGTGAATGGAATCAACTGGCTACTCTTGCACTTCCAGTCGATGCATACAGTATCCATGCATGATAAGAGTTGGTTAATGTTTGGGATCTCGCCGATATTTGTAACTTCGATTCTAAAGAATGCGTTAAGTGATTGAAATGACACGCGGGCTCTGTTGAAAACACTTCCTCTTGCCTGTTTAATAATTCCTGCGTTATAAACTTCGAAAATATTATTCATTTTGCACGCACTTTACCCCTTACCGAACAAAATCAAAGACAGTTTTAAAGTTAAAGATCAACTCCACTCATCAGTTACGAAAATATGAATGTATAAACACATAAAGGCAAAGAATAAACATACATAGACTTCATATTTGTTTCTGACCTTCCAATATTTCTTCAAAAGGCTGCATGGGTTTTAAGTCCACTGTGCTGCTTCCAACAAGTATTCCAGTCTTTGTACAGACATTTTCGTTCTGATGATTAAGAAGATCACTAATTAACTTAGACTTCACAATTAGGCACACACAATTCACTTCACACATCTATTCACTACGGTACATTTGATCACACATAGAGACTTATTTTTTCCGGTTACAAACGCGCTACTCTAGTTCGCGTGGGAAACTGACGGGCAAGAGAGCACTCTACTGGCTCCTTGAGAAAACAACTGCTGCTCGTCTGTCATCTGGAGTAGGAACAGGAGAGTGTGGTATAGAAATCAGACGACGTTTTATGTCTCTGAAACCAAGTTCATTCTGACATCTTCTGAGCAAACATATAAGTAAACATAACTACCTGCAGATGCCATCTATGGAATGTGCATATAATTACATATTACTCTAACACTGCATTCCATATTTTTTTCCCATTGGCGCTACAGCCCTTATTTGGGCCTAGGCCTACCTCCATGAAACCTTCCGTTTCACTTCTGTTTTACTAGATCTTAGACATACGGTAGGACTCCTTGGGCGGGTGATCAGCTCGTCGCAAGGCCTCTGCCTGTACACAAACACAAAAAACGCACACAAACATCCATTACCTGAGTGGGATTCGAACCCACGATCCCGGCTTCCGAGCGATCGAGGACAGTGCATACCGCATCCCCTATTACGATGTAATAAAGATGTTAAAATCGGAAAGTAATATTTTCATTCCTCGAAAGTTATTCTTAACAAGCTGTGCGTCGCAATGTCGTAAAGGTAAAAAAAGGTAAAGTTGTTCCTGTGCTTAACTAATTAAGCACTACGCCATGAAAGCGTATGGGGAAGTGGATGTATTGATCCTTATCGCACTGTGACATTTTCAAAATGAAAGTTACGGGGTTACAAATGAAGTCCAGCGCCAAATTACAAATGTAAATAGGCCCTCTAATTTATTTTGAACAACAATTTTATAGATAGATCTTGGCTAATTTTCATGATAATCAATATGAATAGATATTTGGGAACAACGATAACAGATCGAAACCTGATTCAGGAGGAAATTAAGTGGATACTGAATTCTGGTTATGCTTGCTACCATTCAGTCCAGAACCTTTTGTCTTCCCGACTGCTGTCCAAAAACATAAAAATTAGAATATACAAAACTATAATTTTGCCTGTGGTTCTGTAGGGGTGTGAAACTTGGTCTCTGATATTAAAGGAGGGCGATAGACTGAGGGTGTTTGAGAACAGGGTGTCAAGGAGAATATTTGCACCGAAGAGAGATGAAGTGACAGGAGGTTGGAGAAAACTGCATAATGAGGAGCTTCATAACTTGTACTCTTCTCCAAGTATAATTAGAATTATCACATCAAGGACGATGAGATGCGCATGCCATGTAGCACGAATGGGGATAAGGGGATAGGGACCAGTGGAGGGCTCTTGTGAACACGGTAATGAATCTTCGAGTTCCATAAAATACTGTGAAATTCTTGAGTAGCTGCAGAATTCAGTGGTCCTCCAGAAGACTCAGCTCCATTAGTAGGTAAGTAAGTAAGTAAGTAAATCAATATGAATATCAAGTGATGGAGTGTGGCTACACATGGGTCTTGGATTGATGACTCAATTTATTTCTCACTTTCATACAGCGCGTGACTACAGTTTACAGTTCAGTATTACACACAAACACACATACACACACACACTAGTGTCCAGAGTCACGTCTTCACTGACGTTGATTGGTAGCGGCATCCAACGGCGGATGTTCCCCTTCCTCTGGGTTCCGAACTGTCCCTGGCCTCAGATACCAGATTCTAACAGCAAACCTTACCGTGACTGAAATTCGAAGCCAAAGTCAAAGTCACTTTAGGACTGACGGTCAGTCAGTCAGTAAGTCCTGGTGTCGAGAGCCAGATATTTATTACTGTTTGACAGTTACGGTCTTGTTTTTGTGGTGCGCCCTCTCTGACGAGAGGACGGGTCTGTCTTTTTTATATGCTGCTGACACTGAACCCCAGCTTATCCTGCATATAACTTCTCGGCACGGACTGCATAGAAAATGTCTCTTCCAGTAAAGTTGTATTCTATTTTTGCCGTGAAAACATACCTCTTCGTGGAGCAGTTACTTAGCAATGTCTGTAGTATGGTTGCTTATTTCGCGGTCGTTGCCTAGCAACGAATCTACATACCACAATATATGATATTTGGGGCTATTCTTACTTCATAAGACTGACGTGGAGGTCTTAGTGACTCCTGAAATTAAAACAGCCTGTAGGTCTGTTACAGAACACATAATCTGAAGACGTATACCCACCATTGTTCACCATCTGATATTAAAAATATTATATATGATATTACAATATAATTAGGATGTAATCTTAGGTTGTCAACAATATGGACTCACACATAAAAATGTGCATTCATGAGAAAACAAAGAGACTTTATAGAGCGTACAAATCTTCTTCTAAGCTCAATATCTACTTTCTCACAAGACTCGAAATAAAAATTTAAGGCAACAACGTAGACTATTTTGTTTCAAGTATTCAATTACACGTGACGTCAGTCGACGTCTGCAGTGTTGTACAAATATAAGGACAGCTCATGTGCCATTTTTGCGTCCACCTTCTTTTCTGAAACTGCAAAGAAAATGTGACATATTATTCTACTGATCCGACAAGTTGAAACATTAAAAAATGTGTTTAGTGATGAGTTTTCCGACCAGTTGTACTCCTTGGTGGAAGTGAGAGTAAATAAGAAGATACGCTCTATTGCTGACTAACAGGAAGATATTTGAGTAAAAAAAAAAACTTTCTCCAACACTACTTTCTTTTTAATTCGCTTAGTGGTGGGGTGGAGTCCTACTGGGTCCACTCGGCACGGCGGCCACTGATTGGCCTATTGTAGCCTGCACCGAGTGATTATGATGATGGAAAATTTGGTGGAATGAAGATTTGCAGGGAAAACCGAAGTACTCGGAGAAAACCTGCCCCAGCGCCACTATGTCCACCACAAATCCTACTTGTCCAGACGCGGAATTGAACCCGGGCCGCCGCGGTGGGAAGCCAGTGACTAACCCGTTGAGCTATGGCGCGGCCTTCCCCAACACTACTTTGTCCACTCTAAACTCCGCATGAAGTGCCACGGTGTTCACCACGGGTCTACGCAATAAGCAACTGAGGTCCAACCTCTCAGCTGACACAAAATAAATATAGAACGTGAAATATTAATATTTGAAATCCGTTTTAAATAAAATAGATTTCACTTATAACGACAACAGGGCATATAAATCCGAATTAAAGTTAACTAAAATAAAAAGGGATACGTTCTGTCTGTCATATAGTTTTGTTTTGAAAAATCTGTTGATATATCATGAATAATTGTTTCTCCGTTATAATGAATTTATAAAAATGGCGGAGTGATTTTACGCGGCAATAAGATGGCGGGGTGTGTGGGATTACCAGAAGACCTGCTAGACTGTTCTGGGACCAGAAGCAAATGACTTAAGATAAATATTTTGTCTACTCCTTACATAAGTTTTAGTTTAATCTGAAGGTCTTCTAGTTTGTCCGTATTTTATTGCAACCTGAATTCTAATATGGCGTAAATAGGTCAGTTAAATCCAAATGACAAAACACATAACCCGTGCTTTTAGGATGAACAATTGAGTCTTTAATACTGTGCTTTCAAAAGTCTTCTAATATGAGTCTCCCTTGATGTGAACACAAAACTCTGAGACCCATTTCCCTAAAAAAATTCTAAGAACGAAATTTAGCAAATATATAAGAATTATCACTAATGAATATTAAGGAAATGTATAACGTATTTTGCCTATTATACTCTAAATTTTCAGTTTAATGTAGCCTTTAAATCTAAAATCAATGCAGAATTTTTGTTATCTGCCTGTTTCTCGGAGATCCGCGGGAAAATGTTCGCTGCCCCCTAGGGGGCCGCGGCTCCCACCCTGAAATAGAGAATTCTGATGTATTACTCACTGCAATAGGGCGGTGATGTGTATGTAGCAATCTCAAAGGATCCTCTGGCAGGGAAGTCGATGGTCTTTAGTCCCAGTGGTATGCAAGTCGTTATGGAGCAGTCAGAAGGATAATTGAAAGCTCTCGAAAGCCAACCAAGGCTCAGTATGCTGCAGCAAGAAAGTAACAATGCAAGCAATGAACAATCAGGCATTATGTCTGTTTATTATTTATTATTATTACTGTTTTCTTTTTTTTTGCTAGTGGGGTGGGACTTGTACTGCGGCTACTTCTGGCCTATTGTACCAGCCCCAGATGATATGTGAGGGTGATTGTGGAGCAATTGGTGGAATGAAGATTGGCAGGGGAAACCGAAGTACTCGGAGAAAACCTGCCCCAGCGCCACTTTGTCCACCACAGATCCCACTTGACAAGACCCGGGATCGAACCCGAGCCGCCGCGGTGGGAAGCCAGCGACTTAGCGTTTGAGCTATGGCGCGGCGCAATTATGAACTGTTACTGTATTCTTGACAGCTCACGCCACAGGAAGGGCAGAGGCTGAGAGTGACTGAAAGCAGTGCCGAGAGGCCTGCGAATGAGGAAACAAAGTCAGGACGGGGGAAGTTTATATACAGAGCTTCGTAGTTCATATTTTCCAGCTGACATTTGTACAGTAACTGAATGAAGAAGGATGACATGAGTGGGGCACCAATCACGCATGGAGTATGAGAGAAACACAAAATTTTGGTGGGAAAGTCGCTTCGTAGGAGGCTAGCTGAGAGAACTGGGAGAATGATATAAAATAAAAAAAGAACACTCCTTGGATTTAGCCCGCAAGTTAACTATACCGACTATGTGACCGTCGCTTGTCGGCGAAGTTAGTGTCAACTTTAGCGGGTAGAGGGAGTCGCGTGGTCAGCGCAACGAATACCCACGGCCGTTAATTTGCGGTTTTCTAGACCGGAACCGCTACTTTTCCATTCAAGTAGCTCCTCAATTATCCTCACAAGGCTGAGTGGACCCCGTTTCAGACCCACTTCGTCTCAGAAAAATCTGATAGCGCCGGGAATCGTACCCGGGACCTCTGGATCTGTACCAAGAACTCTAACCACTAGATCACAGAGGAGATATATGCTTGGGAACACTGAAACTTTTTACGGATTATGTTGGTAGTAATACGTTACATACCTTACAGCAGACTTGATAAAACCAGTCTTTCTACCCCAAAAGGTGCAGTTGGAATACGCAAGAGCTTCTGTGTAGTACTCTAGTGCTCGGTTGTGGGGACACACCACAGAGTCCACAATATCTGAGAGCAAACAGTTCAAATTTGTTGAAACATATGCTACATTACTGGTAAGGAAGTTTTGTGTTACATATATATATATNGAAAAAAATCCAATGACCTAATCGGGATTCGAACCTGCGACCTTCCGGCTTGTAGCATAGTGCCTCAACCAACTACGCTACCGCGTGCCCCGTATATATATATATATACGTGGAAAGCCAGAAGTAAAGAAACCACTAGGAAGACCAAGACGTAGGTGAGTGGATAATAATAAAGAAATATTAGAGAAATTGGATGGGGTGGGGTGGACTGGATTGACCTGGCTGTGGATAGGGACCAATGGAAGGTTCATGTGAACACAGAAATGAACTTTGAGGTTTCATAAAATGTTGTGAAATTGTAGAGTTGCGCAGCGATTTGCGGTTCTGAATAAGTGCTTAGCTCCATGGAGTTAGTTAACACCCACATGGAGCACAGCGTGTCTTCAGAATCTTATTGTTGCTCAGACTGTCACGTTGTTTCCCTCTCTCATGGGATTAGAAAATTACAAGGTCTTCAAATATTCACGAATCTACTGAATTTTTAAATTTATTCTACTTGCAAGCCATGGGAAGATGTAACATAAGTCTCCTAGGCATGAGCTAGTCCTCTGTGGACATACATTCTACTTCTGTTGCCCAGTGGGCTTATTGAATCAAGCTAATGCAAAATATTATTGGAAATTATACAACCAGAATCCCAAATATCTCAGCACAGGCACTAGGCTAAGGACTGGACTACCAGGGAAATTAGTTTTGACGCCTTACAGACGTAATAGCTTGCTCCCCGGCATTTGGAACAGCATTGAGACGCATCCAGCCTCCCAGTTAATGAACACTGAGTGCTCTTTGGCTAGGGGTAAAGCAGCTGAGGTGTGAAACAGACTCATCTCCATCTAGTGCGGAGGTTAAGAATGGATGAAACAATACCTCCACACTCCAGTTGTCTTCGTCAAGTGACGCTTAGTTAATCACTGGGAAATGTGAGTTACACCAAACTGTACCATTGTTTGCACGTAGCGGTGTCTCACGCGCAGACACGTACCTTCAACAGGGTTGAAAGAAATGCCTCGGGAAACTATCTTCTGCAGGCTGATGACAGGAACCTGGCAACCAGGCTGACTCCAGCCTCCGTTCACATAGAAATCCACGTGACCTGCAATAAACAGAGGTCTTATGCTATAGGTCTGAACTACATGGAGCCCTGACTAAGTACAGGCGGTGGAAGAGGTCTTTGGCTTTTGACATTACTTGTGAAAAACTTCAGAAATAAATTATTCCTCTTCCACATGTCTTTATAACATGTCATAATTTTAATTATCTATATATTTCGACAATTTTCTGGTTCGAAAGTTAAACTTCACAGAAATCCTAATCCAAATATATAATATAGTTATCAGAATACAAGTTGAAATTTTTCTTCATTATTCTGTGACTCGTATCGGATAGAATTTTTTTTTAATTTTCCCTTGACATCTCCCCAGTGGGCCTAGGCCTACCTCCATGAACTTCTCCGTTCACTTCGGTTTTTCTAGATCTTACACATTCGGTAGGACTCCTTGGGCGGGTGATCAGCTCGTCGCAAGGCCTCTACCTGTACACAAACACAGAAAAAGGCACACACATAAACTAGACATCCATGCCCTGAGTTGGATTCCAACCCACGATCCCGGTTTCTAAGCGAGCGAAGACAGTACATGCCATCGGATAGAATATTTGTTGATCTTTACCTGAAGAAGACAATGAATTTTGAGCAAACACTTACATATTCAGTCTTTATTTTTTTTTGGATTATCTACTTTTCCGAAACTGGTTATATTTCCGTCTTAGATGAACAGAATACGAAAAAAAAAATCTATCATGTTCGGCCCTGCGGACTAAAACCGCGGAGATTTTTATGTGAGCTGGAATTCCAATAAATCATATCTTTCTTATAATGACTGTGATCATACAGCACCGACAGCTGTATCAGACTGCCGAACCGCGAACCGACCCCAGACGGAGTCATCATCTTTCTAGTAAGCTGAGCGCATCCTACCCACTAAACTCACCGGTCAGAATGAGGCTATTTGAAGTCAGTCTACTTCACGAGGCTAACCAGCCTCTGACGCCCAATCCCACCTTTCCTACCTAGACGAACTCCCTCTAATCCAACTAACCTAATTAATCAGTAAATTAAACCACGTGCATATTTGTCACCAAGTCCAGAGGGCAAGGCGTAAGGACAGCTACATGTCAAAACGATTTAAACATTTCGAGTTTAAACAGGAGAAGAATTTTAGTAGATTTAGTGTTTGGGCTGACAAAATGAAATAACTAATTATTTCTACCTGGTGATTACCTTACCAACTGCTCTCAGAATGCCCGCTCCTAGAAGCGGGACGGTGGGCTTAGCGTCTGTATGTATCACTTCCACAAACAAAGCGTCATCTGCGTCTAGCTGTACCACTTTCTTGTATCCCTCGAACAGGGGCTGAGCTGGGTCCAGACCTACACCAATGAGCAAAATTATAGCTACTGAGGGCGTGTTCTAGGCCGTGTGTGGGGCTCTTGCAGCGTTTGCTGAAGTTCACGGGTCAGCATGCGGGATTGTCGCGTAGACCAATTATACTTACTAAAGTTGTCGTTGCTTTGCTCAGGCTGTCGAAACAAATCCAGAAATGTTAAAGCATAATACACCACCATTGCTTCGTTTCCTATCCTTCTCACTAAGTTGGTCACAATCACACTCAGTTTGACAGAGTGCCATCAAAGGATCATAGGAAGAGAAAGTAAAGCTATCCCTGTAACAGGCCGTGGATGTCTATAGGGTTGTGAGACGTCGAGGCTCCCACATTCTCTCTAGACCAGGAATGTCAAACTCAACTTGTACAGAGGGCCAGCTCAGCCCTATAAATAATGGTTCAGGGCCGCACTTCAAAATAGAAATATACATTAGATTTTGATACAAGTAAATTTAATTCTATTTATTATTTAGGGATAATTTCAATATAATTACCTAAAGTCACATATCTTACAGTTTTAAAACCCAAGAGAATGCCATTTTTGACAAGTATCAAACAACTTTTCAATATGTAAAAAGAGAGATTACACAAGAAATTATGTTAGAAATAGCAAAATATTGAATTTCCTGCAGCCTGCTAATTTATGTCTGCGTGAGACTTCTTGTCTCTGGTCTGTTGGAAAATTGTCTTTACAAAAAATATTTCTACTAAAATTTTAATATTGATTTTAATATCAATTAGCTCTAAAAGTTGGGGGGCCGCACTTTGTGTCTATAGGGGCCGCATGTTTGACACGGCTGCTCTAGACAATCGCCTCACAGATGGCGGCGAAGTCCTCAGCCTTACGTGCCGCCCGTCCTTTACCCCCGGGAAGATCCCTGGTACTCATTTACGTGTATTTTAGGGACTGAATCAACCACAGGGACATAGTGAGGTTGGAAGGATTAGGACAACTGAAAAATCCAATTATTCCATCGGGAATCGAACCCGCGACCTTCGGGACTGTAGAATAGTACCTTAACCAACTACGCTACTGCGTGCCCATGAACATAGAAACGACAACCAATAAACATTTCTGTAGGAAAATACAAAACGCAACCTAAAACATGATATCAGACCTCAAAGGGTGTCGATCCCACATTTCGCTATGCATTCAGCTTATGTGAGCTCGAATTTATCGCCATGTATAGAAGAGGTAAACTATGCACGATTTGAGGTTCCCACAGCGGTGGTCGTGAAAAGTTCTATCCTCTAGGACATAACGCCATGCAGTCCGTCGAGTGTCAACTGACGTTTCGGAGGAATATATCCTCTGAATGTATAATGCAATTACCGTAGCAATGAAAATTAAAATAATACTAAAGAAATTCTTTCAGAAAATTTAAATAGGCCTACCTTAAATTGATATCCCTCACGAAGAATTTAAAAGCAGATTAAAAATTGAGAATATTTTTTGCCGTTCATTTCAGACTGTTTTATACTCCGCCCCGCTATATGAAAAGTAAAATTCAAATTCAGGCTTCCAAAAGCATAATTTTACCTATTTTTCTACAAGGGTGTTAATCTTAGTCTCTCGGTATAAAGAAGAAAAGAGATTAACGATGTTTGAAAACAAAAGGTACAGAGAGATATTTTGACCTCATACAGGATGAAGTAAGGAGAAAATGTAAAAAATAAGAATATATACTTAGGAGTTTCAAATTTATTATTAGATCGAATCTCTTTTTTATACATAAAATTAAAACGTAAACGGCCTTCGGCAGACTGGTGCAGTGACTTGTTGCGAGTTCGTCGTAACGCCACCAGGTGCGCAACTTGCTAGCCAGCGCTAAAGGGAGGGAGTGATGAAAGATGGTGCTGCTAGTGTTCCTCGGGTTGTTACGAATAAGTCGAATGTTCAATAATTTTTCGGCCGTCGGATGCACATTGGCACGCGGGCTTTGCTAATATTGTTAGAAAGATCATAATAAGGAGGACGAAGTGAGTGGACACGTAGCACATGAAGCGGAAATGTGATATATAAACAGAATTTTAATTGGGAACCCTCTTGGGAGACCCAGGGCCGGTTGAATAATAATATTATTAAGGGCCCTAAGAAAATACGGTGGGAGAGTGTAGTCTGGATTCTTCTGCTTCGGATAGGGTCCAACGGCGGTCTATTGTGAACACGATCCCATGAAAAGTGAATAATTTCTTGTCAGTTCCTCTAGAATGACCTTACTGCATGGAGACAGTTGAAAAGTTATTTATATATATCCTAGATTCAACAAACCGACAGGAATTACAGTTCAGGTAAGATATAATTTGTGTGACAGTTTAATAACTGGCGCATTTGAAGCGCGGGTTCTCACACCTTCGTCTTAATTGATTCGGCACGTAATGTTAAAGAGCTACTGACCTGTTATGCGTCCGATGCCTGATATACTTTTCGCCACGTAACCAGCGGTGTGCGCACCAAGGCTGTGGCCAATCATGTGGAATCTGACGGGTGCTGCCCTCTCTTTTTGGATTAAATATGTGGTGAGCCTGCATTCATTAAAAATTATTTTATTTTGTCATGAATGAATCTCAATAAATAATACGATATACTCGTATAGCTGATAGTGCAACTCTAAACAGCACATGTCTTCATTAATATCATTGACAAAAAGTGAGTTACGTAACGACTATGAACCAACCACATAGCTTTTTTTTAATGCTAGTGGGGTGGGACTAAGTCCCTTGTACTGCGGCCACTTCTGGCCTATTGTACCAGCCCCAGATGATAGGTGAGGGTGATTGTGGAGCAATTGGTGGAATGCAGATTGGCAAGGGAAACCTAAGTACTCGGAGAAAACCTACCCCAGCGCCACTTTGTCCACCAAAAATCCCACTATCACACAGCTTAATAGTGTCTAACAGTATGAAGGGATGATTACATTATGTAAATTTGAAAGAAATTGGGAAGAAGTGGGTGCGATATATTTAGGGAGACTGCCCGAACATTCTCCTGGAAGGACTGAGAAAAATAACGAAAATGTCTTAGTCAAAATAGTTGATGTCCTGGTGGCGTTTATACAAACTCCCTGACCTGTAGTCAGCAAGCGAACTATACCGACCGAGCGAACGTAAGCTTGGACATTTTACGTGCCAAAAAAGGGCAGGATATTAAAGTTATTTAGCATTCTGTGGTATTGATTCTATAAGAAATAAATCTTTTTGAGTTACACTTTCATATTCCGTAAGCGGTTTTATCTTGTTTGTCCAAGTTTGAAAAGTGTAGGCAACGAAAATCCCGACAGTAATTTTGAATCACTCTGTATTCTATAACACTAACTCACCTTATAATCTCCGCTGCGACGACCCTAATGTTGGCGCACACTTGGTTGTATTCCCCATCGCTAGCACCGTTACCCCAGTCAACAATGAACACGTTGGCATCAACCTGAAGGAAACACATCCCACATTGTAGGATTTGAAGTTGTCACACCGGTGGTTATGAAGTGTTCTATCATCTGGGATTGAGGCGACATGTTCCTCCGAAATGTTGGGTGAATTTCAACGGACTATATGGCGTTATATCCCAGAAGACAGAACACTTCGTACAAAAAAAAAACTGTCTTGAGCAACATGTAGAATCATTATCACCCAGATGGGCAGAAGAAAAGACGGGCTATAATAAATTCTAAGTGGACAGAAGTGTCAAAAAATCAGTAATTGAAGAATTAAAGGTAGACTAGTCTAGAAATTAACTTCAAGTAGAAACATTCGTGAGAAACAGGAAGGCTCTGAACTGGTCGAAATATTACCCACCTTTCGAGAAAGAAAAATTTTCAATGCCGCGTAAAGAAGCTATCAGCCCCTTTCAGCCAGCGAGTTTGGCCCCTCTACTGGCAGTGGTATCCGATACTTCGCCATCTACCGGAGGCATTGGAAACTACTTGGGCGGGAAACTTTTTACTTAATTTTGCTCAGAGGTCTCCTGGAGACATGTGGATCTTTTACGTGCCGTAAATCTACGACACGGGACCCACGGCTTAAAGTCCCTCCCGGAGGACTTGTTCCCTGAATTTTTCCCCCTTAAAAATTCCACGACTTCCGCCGGGTTTGAACCCGCGTACCTTGAGTCATGAGGTGGGAACGTTACCCCTAGACTACGGAGGCCGCTTATTCTCGACCTTACTCTGGCCGAGGAGTGGACTCAGCTGGGTAAAGATAAGGTCGAGTTCACATCCTAGAGCCAAATTTATAAGACCAAATTTAATGGTGTCCCTATACTTCCGCCCAGATCTCTCAAAGTGACATATTTTTTCTTCACTTAAGTTTTTCCGCTAATATTTTTGTATCAAATTTTGATCTCGCAAATGCATGCTATGGTCTCTCCCATCTTATTCTCCTTGATTTAATCACACTAACAATATTTAGTGAAGAGTATGCTTACAAATTATGAACTCCTCATTATGCAATATTCTCAATCTTCCTTTTACTTCCGCTTTCGTAATTTTTCCTCACATTTCACAAATGACGTGACCACATACAAATTTATAAATTAAAATACAGATTTTTATTGAGGGAAATTATTAATGAATTATACTAAAACTGTGGAAAGAACTACAATATACCTTTTTTGTATGCTGACATTGTACGAGTATTTAATATTTAGATTGGCCGCGCCATAGCTCAAGCGGTTAGTCGCTGGCTTCCCACCGCGGCGGCCCGGGTTCGATCCCGGGTCTGGTCAAGTGGGATTTTTGGTGGACAAAGTGACGCTGGGGCGGGTTTTCTTCGAGTACTTCGGTTTCCCCTGCCAGTCTTCATTCCACCAAATTCTCCAACATCATAATCACCCAGGGCAGGCTACAATAGGCCAATCAGTGGCCGCCGTGCCGAGTGGACCCAGTTGGACTCCACCTCCCACGAAGTGAATAAAAAAAATACTATTAATATTTAATTTAATATATGCGAAAATATTTTAGTTAATTATTAGTTATTTACACTGTTATTTTTTATGCGTATTACACAAAATTCAATGTCATAAAACGGTTAATTAATTTTAATTGTTGACGGCTTCAACTTTGTGCATAATTTATGATTATTAATGAAGTACAATTTGATTTAAATGAGAATTTGATTCATTCATTCATTTAAAGTCGGAATAGCTCAGTTGGTGTAGCGATGGGCTACGACATACGACCGGGGTTCAATCCCCGGCAGGGGAGAGATTTTTCTCTTCTGCACAGCATCCAGACTGGCTCTGGGGCCCACCCGGACTCCTACTGAATGGGTACAGGGAGTAAAGCGACTGGGGCGTGAAACTGACCACCCACCTCCAGCTAGTGACGAGATCAAGAAAGCTGGAGCTATACCTCCCCTCCCGCATACGTCCTCATGGCGTAATGCTTAATTATTTAAGCAGGGACAACTTTATCTTTTACTTTTAGTTCATTCATTTACATTTCAAATGTCTTTTTTACACATATATTTCCTCTCTTAAATCCGGCTTATTATCCAGTCGCCCTTTTTCCACACTACACGTTTCGGCCGTATAGTTATCCACTGTTGTGTATCTTGCTAAAATTGATGGCCGTGTGCAGCCGAAACACGTATTGTGGAAGAAGGGTGATTAGATACTAAGTTGCATTTAAGATGGAAAAATATATTAAAAAGAGATATATTAATGCAACAGGATGCTTAAATACAATATTATTTCAAATGAATTATTATTTATTTTCATGTCGTCTCATTTTCTAATTGTGCAACTGTCCACCTGGGAGAACGTGAAGAATATGATGTGATATTATTAAAATGAAATGGTTGTGAATATGTGTAATTCAAATAAGTGCACAGAATTGTGTCCATTGGCGGGAGAGCAGACTTGCTGCTTCCATTCAGGGTTTACTTTTCAACCCTGAAGGTGGAGGCAGTATTTTTCTCGGAAACGCCCGTCAATTTCTGTCAGACTAAACTGCGTCACATCTCAGAAGATAGTATTCTTCAAGACATATTTATTTTATAAACTATGATTAAAGTCCAAGAATGGCACATTAGAAGTCGTCGTTTTGAAAAACCCTAAGCACAGTAACAGACAAATGCTAAAAGCGTCATTCAAGTATCGAGTGTTCTACTGATCTTTGAAGTTAGGCGTGAAGGTTTATTGATAATAAATATTGCTATAATAAATAAACATACTGTCACGGTTTATGAGTGTGACTATAGACGGGGTATAGATTGCTGAATGGATTTATTGACCGCTTATGCACACGAATAGTAACTACAAGTAATTACGGTGAAACCGCTAATCTTCACAATTCACAGATCACCACAGCACTTGCTAAGCCTTTTTCAGCCTGCTGGCGGTGAGGTTGTCAGCCTTACGCGCCGCCGCCCTTTACCCACAGGAAGGTTCCTGGTACTCATTTCTGTTAGATGCTGAGTCAATCCCAGGGCCATAGTGCTGCTGGATGGTTTAGGTCAATTAAAAAAAATCCTATGACCTCGTCGGGAATCAAATCCGACACCTTCCGGCCTGTAGCATAATGCCTCAACCAACTACGCTACCGCGTACCCCCTAAATACACTGGACGGTAGTTAAAAATCGTATTTATTGGTGTGACGGACCAAGATGAACCAAGTTAAGTTTAATTTGTTCAGTTCCTTCAGAGTTCATTTTGACCTGGAAGGTACGTATATTATATTCAGTGTTGTGTTGTGTTATTTTGTAGCAGAAGAACGTGACTTATCACTTACATTATTTAGGTAAGCGTTCTTCATATCCTCCATCCAAGTGTCATTGCCGGTGGACATGAAGCCGTGGATGAGGAACACCGTTCCTTTACTCCCGTCGTAGGAGGAATGTTTCATGTCAATACCTGGCCACGTCTTCACGTAATAGCGTTTTGTAGGTCGCTTCCTGTTTATCGAAAATATTAACAGACTGTATGCAGTGAAACCTTGCAGAACAAACTCAAAAAATTGTAGCGAAGAAGAGTTCTGTCTTCTTGTATATAAAGCCGTGTAGCCCGTTGGAAGTCAACTGACGTTTCGGAGAAATCTGTCTCCTTCATCTTCTGTGTGCAAGAATAAGGCAAGCAAGAAACCAGCTTGAGAGAAGTTACCAAACAGAGCCATACAAAAAGAGCCTTGTTTTCCATCTACTTTCATGCTGGTTTTTGCTTGGCTTATTCTTCGACATGAAGATAGAGATGACGGCACCAAGCCAGGAATTGGATGAAATGGAAATTAAAATACCTCCAATCAAAGTATGCTCCTCAGAAACGTCGGTTGACTTCCAACGGACTACACGGCGTTATAGTTCAGAAGAGAGAACTCTTCATGATCATCTATGTGAGAATCTCAAATCCTACAGCCTTGTAGCAGTTGAGGATATTGATAGAAAAACTAACTAAGAAATTTATGAAGAGATTTAATAATTCCTGTGCAGTATATATATTAGATGCTTTAATATTTGCTGAGTATCTTGATGACAAAAGAACAAATATTTTCTTCATTATCATAAAAATTGTGAGGCTTATGGAAAAGTATTTTGGACGTAAAAACAGACTGTCCGGATGAAAGGTATCCAAAATAGAATAATTATATCTCAGAAAATATTTATTAGACACATTTATGAGTTACATCAGTACAAAGGGAAAGTATCTTTTTTTTTCTGAGTATATATATAACTTTCTCAATAAATTTCAATGTGCGCTCCTTTGGTAACACTAGAAATATCCATAGGTGAAGCATGTTTGGTGTTACCGTTGCCATAGCGTCCCTTATGCGGGCTTTCAGGTGTTGAAAATCGTTGATCTTAACCTGGTAGACAATGTTCTTCACAAAACACCACAAGAAAAAATCCACTGGGGTTAAGTCCGGCGACCTAGGAGGCCAAGAGATTGGTTCACTTTTCCCGATCCATCTCCCAGTCATCTCTCTGTCAAGGTGATTCCTAACATGGTGGCAGAAATGTGGCGGCGCCCTGTCTTGTTGGAGGATGCTTTGAGGTGGTAATTGGGGCAGCGCATACAGCTCCAGCATGTCCCAAGTAAGAAAGTCCGGTTACAGTCTTTTCAAAAAAGAAAAAGGGTCCAATCAACTTGTCGTGTATTAAGCCGGCCCACACGTTCACTTTGAGGCTGCCTCTCTCCAACTCACACGTGACATGTAAATTTTCACTGCTCCAAATCCTGCAGTTGTACCTGTTTAAAACTTAGATTGAACGTCGCCTCGTCCGAGAAGCACACGTCGTGGAGGAAATCGGGTGACGTGTCAGGTCTTTCTAGTATGTCCACAGCAAAATCTGTGCTTGCTACTTGGTTATTCGGTTCTGTGCATGAATCATTTGAATCTTGTACGCTCTTAGACGGAGCCTTTTGTGTAGCACATCGTGCACTGCAGAACGTGGAATTTGTAAGCTAGAAACTGGAATTGATTTGCGCGGAATTCGCTGGAATACCTCTCTAATGCGATAGGTATTTTCTTTAGAGGTTCGCGTATTTCCAGGATATTTTACACGCACAGACTACCTGTAGTCCTTGGTTTGTTGTCCCAGAACCGAATGATTTTCCTTGTAGGAGACTGACGTCCTTATTGCGTTCTAAAACGACGCTGGAAAGCCGCAAGAAATTGCAACTCTGTCAGCCACAACATGCATTGATCCTGTTGTGTCGACATTTTCACTAAGCTCGCCGAAGGTCATCAGCTGGAGGATAAGCATTAGCCGGGATTTAAAGAAAACTTTTATAATATTCCTTTCCGATGACATAAACCGATATGTGTATGATAATTATTTTCTGAGATACAAGTTTTTGATATATTTCTGCACAATATTTCTTCGAACCATTTCTTGTTTCGATAAATTTAGAGAATTACGCACGATTTACACTTGAGATAAGACGCACAATCACATGTACCTGCGCAGAGAAGAACAGCAGAAAATCTGAAGGTAAATGTAAAATGTGTTAATACCCGATGACGGCCGAAAGGCTGACACGTGTAGATAATTTGAGGCTATAATGTACTGTACAAATAACTGTGTTGGAATAAAATAATGAAACTGCACCTACACCTTCGTGTAAAATGGCCATTATTGTTATTCAATTTTAAACAAAATTGGAATATGTCGACATTCTTTTTTTAAAAAAAGAATTCTATCTGATGGGATATAACGCTATGTAGCCCGTTGTTACCTACTTCACACCGGATTCTTGCTTGACTTATTTTACTACCACGAATATGAAGGTGACATATTCCTTCGAAACCGCGGTTGACTTTAAAAGTACAACTCGACGCTATATCCCAGAAGACAAGACTCATCATAACCAACGCTGTGAGAACCTCAAATTCTACTGTATTAAAATTCATAGCAGTTTCTTCTATAGTCTTAAAGTTGTTCCATGAGGGCAGACAAGAAAATTCGTACCGAGGCTAACAAGCTTATCTATAATTTCATTGAGTTTATTTATGTTAGTTTTCAAGCCGGAAATCCCGCATGACTGCAAAATCAATATATGACGCTTGGCGTTACATCATATTTGATTTTTATAGGGACACATGTCTAGAGCTTTAGCACCTCAGTTGCTTGTTTTGTGTTGAGCTCTGAAAAAACCGTAATGGCAACGGTCTAGAAATTCTCTTTACATAGAAAGCTGAGTGCTCTGGCAATCGGTGCTAAATGAGACGTCAAAGCAGCACAAAGAACTCCAGCATTTATGTCACAATCTACAAATATTGTAGTTTTAGAAAGTTACATATTTTGCATATTTGTTTCCATAACTAATATAGAGGACTAACTCACATTTTCCTGCTTTCTTTGAAAGGTTACCCAATATTTATTTAGCTGATAAGAGTTTCCCTGTTTTTATGAAATATGATTCGTCACTCTGAGAGATTTGAAGTCCTCACAGCAGTGGCCATGAAGATTGCAACGTTGAGGAACCTGCGAATAAAACATAATGAAGTGGGATAATGTTGTGTTGGCTAACAGGCATAGATCGAATATGGAAACAGTTCGGTCCTCCAGAACTCCAGCAAAGACCCATCAGGCTACATGACGTCATACCTAAGAAGTTTAGTGCTTTAGTTCGTCACTGTGCTGAGAAATGCTAACCACCTGTGGATATTGTGTGAACTTTAATATTTCATTCCTCTAAACTTCATATTGTCACGTTTATGTGGATAAGCCAGAAGAAAATAACGGGTTCTAGATCAGATGATTGGATTTAATGTCACTTCGGTTATAATTTCTCTTAATCACACTCAATTATAACGCTATCGGTATTCTGCACACTTTGAGTTCACCGTTGCACATGCACTAAGATTCTCCGTCTTCATTAGTCGTATCCTGGCAACGGATCTCAACACAGAAACTAGCGCTTCAAATCACTATGAAGTCTTCATCTTATTTCGTCTTCAATCACTCTGTCCTGCTGTTCTAATATGTACTCAACTATCTTCACAACTCACTAAGAACATGCTCCATTCTCGTCCTTGTACTCTCAACTGCATTGCACTGCACTAATCTAAGCTATACAACAGGTCCTCGTTACATAGGTTACTCACGGACCATACAGAGAACACAAGTCACATGATTGCTATATCGCCAGATCATTGGCTCGCCGACTGCTGCCTAGTAACGATCTATAACATTCGTCAATTGAGAAGCATTTTCCATTGTTGCGTTTTGTAACGTGTTTACCGAGCCGTTGTCTAGCAATGCTTTGAAAAAAACCGTTACATTGCTCCCTCCTTAAGACTGTTGCCTAGAAACGTGTTGCATAACCCCGTTGTTGTGTGAGCGTATTATTTAGCGCGGCTATTTCTGTAGCTCAACATTTCTTGCATTGGGCAATGTGTCACAGTATTAACATAATCCCTCAGTATGTGCCTAGTTTCCCCTAGTAGCATTGTTCCAATGAGACTGCCATAATTTCTTGCTCTCATACGTGCTATATGGCCAAATCATCTAATTCCTCTTAATAATATTGTACGATATAATACTGTTATAAAAAGAGAACAATTTATAAACTCTTTCGTCAGTTCTTAGATTTTTCAGAACTGTTTGTGTGGATCGCATACGTGTGCAATCTTTTTGAATGATGCCACTCAGAGTTCCGCAATTCTGAGTCCACCTCTCCTTCTGACAGGTCTACAGCATTAAAGATGTTGCGTCCGTTTCTCCTTACATTGCCACTGACAATGAATATGCCTATGATATTCTGCACTGGGATTCATGCCAATCCCCAGAAGAGACAAGAGATTATTCTTTCCTTCACAGCGTCCAGACCGACCCTGGGGCCCATCCTGTGCCTCTTTCCGTGGAGACGCAGCGGCCGGGGCGTTAAGAACTAGCCGCTTACCTCTGCGTAGTGCCAAGATCGAATATGAGTGGAGCTATATCTCCACTCCACGATACATCTTCACGGCATGGTGTTTAATTAAGCATACGGATGACTTTGGTTTATTTTCAGCCTACTTTATTTATTTAAAAAGAAACAAAAGTAAACTTATGATATGACTTTCCTGTGTGTGTCCATGAAAAACCTCCCCTCCCCCTCATCAACTTGAGAATGCCTCAACAGATATTTACGAAATTTGATACGTATATCATGGCACCTAAGCTCATTTCAACTGCGTAATTCATAAATACTTCCCATCATTCTGTGTGTATGTATGTTTATCCCCCTATCACTGCTAAGTAACGGATGGGTAACACGTTACCGCGGCAAAGAGTATACGTGGAATGATAGAAGAATTGCTGGAGGTGTCGTTTTATCTGTGGTCCGTGTCGTATCAAAATAACGCCGGTGATTAGTTCTTACAAGAACTTATTGTTTTCTTTTTGCATTTTTCTATATATTTTGATTAGGTGATTGATGTGCCCACAAAATATTTATGACAGCTTACAGCTCATCTGCTGGCAGAGTTACTGAAAATTATTAAGTGGATTTTAATGCTATAGGGCTGTGCAACTGGTCAGCTCGCAGGCCACACGCGGCTCTCCAGTTGGTTTTGAGCGACCTGCGAGTATATGCTTCTGTCCCTGAAGTTAGCCTATGCGTTAACGCTTTCCCCCTCTTTTATTTAGTCGGGGAATCCCACTGAAAATGCTTTGATGAAAGGGCATATTAAACATTCCATAAATGTTTTCAATTTAAGGGCACGATCTTCTGTGACGTAACGCAGTACAGTTTGGTAGAAATTCATCGACGTTTCATATCTCTTCCATCTTCAGTACAGAAGAGCAAGAGAAACAAGAAACCGGAAATAAGCAGATAGGAAGCAGAGCTCCTTCTGATGGAAGCGATATATTAGATGAGACGTCAGTGAAATTCTACCGAACTGTACGGCGTTACGAAGCGGATCATCATATTCTTCATAGCCACTAAATTTAACACAATTTGTCGATTTATTTTAAGCGGTGCCTAATAAATAACTTAGAAGAGAATGCAATTAATATGATTTCTATGTCGTATGCAATACCCATATAATTTAACAGATTTATCGCTGCTGTTCCTAATCGCTATAAACCTGGCAACGTTTAACTGAAAAAGAAGTTTTTAACTTTATGAGTCGAACTATTACTCGTGTGTTTGTTCTTCATGCGTTTTATTGCGGACCAGATATCTGATATCGGTATAGTGGGTCGAGGTAGTTAACCCTGTAACAGACCTGGAAGGCCCATAGGGTTGTGGGAAGTTGAGGCTTCCACATCTTCTAGACAATCGGCTCACAGATGGCGGTGAGGTTGTCAGCCTTACGCGGCGGCCGCCCTTCACCCCCAGGAAGATTCCTGGTAATCATTTCTGTTAGAGGCTGAGTCAATTCCAGGGACATAGTGCGGCTGGGAGGATTAGGTAAATTGAAAAAAAAATCCATCCCATCGGGACTCTAACCTGCGACCATCCGCCTTGTAGTATAGTGCTTCAACCAACTACGCTACCGAGTACCCCCCCCCGGTATACTGAGAAAGGAGCATTTTTTAATCCAGCCCGCTTTCAAATAAAGAACAATAAAGACCCGATTTTCCTGTTAATACAGTAAGCTCACATTTGAGATTTATAGTTCTCTCGTCGGTCAAAATTTAGATTTGAACATTCTTGATTGTTTCATAACGAAGTCTCATTTGAATTTGTTTCCTACATCTTAAGGGCAGATCCATTATTGAAGGTGGAGGTTCTTCGAAACTTCTGTAACCACGTACTCGACTAGAATATAAAATATTAAATACAGACTTTCTTCTATTTCTCCTACAGTTGCACTATAGCAGGATTTAAAACTAGCGGAGCACGAGAAAGGAAAATTACAAACAATTGTTTCATGAAATATTGGTAACAATACCTGCAGACCAGTTTGTCTTCATTAGAAGTTCGTTGGTCTGCGTTACCTTGTGTAGAGATAGAATCGTGTCTGGATGACCTGAGGTTCAGCAGGAAGAGGAACTGGACGTAGAGGACCGCTCCAAGGCTCTTCCACTGAGAAACATCCCAGCTCATCGTAACAAACAGACTCTTTTTCTGAAAAAGGAAGAGGAGACGTTAATTTCACGCCTTCATAGCACAAAGTACACAAAAAGAGGTCGGAGTCTCTGTTTTCCCTTGTGCTACGTACTGGAAACTGCTGAATTAAGCAGGTTAGCTAGTGGTGAACAACAATATGATATTTATATGATGAATTGAATGTAGAAGAAAGCGAATTGGCTTACGTAAAATTACTATTCTGACATTTATTTTGAGGGAGTTAGGGAAACCAAGAAAACCCGTTTGTGGAATCGACTTCCGAGCCTAGACACCAAACCCAGGACTTCATATTTAAAAGTTACCTCACAATTAAATTCAAATAATATATCTTATCTTTTATTGCATATCACTCACAAGGCCCATATCTATGTTTATTCACAATAATTCTGTCTCGAAAGTGACAAGTCCGTTTCCAAAACCTTGCCTGCGTTAGGTCTATTATTATGTAACAAACAAAAAAACAAACACCGTGGTTTTAGTCTGTAAGCGACTATACCGACCGAGCGAACGCCGCTTGTCGGCGAAGTTAGTACCAAATTTAGCAGATAGATGGTGTCTTGAGGTCAGCGCAACGGATCCCCACGACCGTTAATCTCGGTTTTCTAGATCGGAGCCTCTATTTCCTTGCAATAGCTCCTCAATTATCCTCACGAGTCTGAGTGGACACTGTTCCAGACCCACTACTTCTCAGAAAATCTTATAGCGCCGGGAATCGAACCCGGACCTCTGGATCTGTAGCCAGGAGCTCTGACCACTAGAGCACAGAGGCAGTCCTATTATTATGAAATATTATAAAAATGAACACATAACCTCGTCTTTTAACCAACAAGGCTTTGTTACGTTATTTACAAGTAATGCATAATTTACACCAGCAGTGTCAAACATGCGGCCCCTCAACTTTTAGAGCGAATTGATATTAAAATCAATACTAAAATTTTAGTAGAAATATTTTTTTGTAAAGACAATTTTCCAACAGACCAGAAGACAAGAAGTCTCACGCAGACCTAAAATAGCAGGCTGCAGGAAATTCAATGTTTTGCTATTTCTAACATAATATCTTGTGTAATCTCTCTTTTTACATATTGAAAAGTTGTTTGAGACTTGTTAAAAATGGCATTCTCTTGCTTTTTAAAACTGTAAGATGTGTGACTTTAGGTAATTATATTTAAATTATTCCTAAATAATAAATAGAATTAAATTTCCTTGTATCAAAATCTAATGTATATTTCTATTTTGAAGTGCGGCCCTGGACTATTATTTGAAGGGCTGAGGTGGCCCTCTGTACAAGTTGAGTTTGACATGCCTGATTTACACACTCACTCTTCGAAAGATGAAAAGCAGTTTGCGGTTGCTCATAAGAACAGCAGCCATACACAGTGAAAGTAATAAGTCCAAAATATTACCTCAGTACAGCAGACTATCCTACCCAATGTCGCAGTAGAGAGCAAAGCACTTCCGCTTCCTATTCAGTTCAGATTTCGACATGTGAGTCTGTTATCATAAATGAGGTTCTCCGTAGTTTTGCTCAGTACCTCTGAACACACTCCAAACTGTTACCTCAAATTAAGACATGAAATCTTCCTTCTAGATCCTTTCCTATTCATTATTGAAAAATCGTCCCATCATTTGACGTAATACAGTCTAAGCTAATGAAAGGATCGCTAAATTAAATAAATAATATACGTTAATAAATACATTCTTAATAACTAACTTCTTCAATGCTCCCGAGTGCTTCTATAGAAGCCAGTTACTACTCAAGAATTTTCAAACATTTTATGTATCCCGAAGATCCCGCCACTGGTCGCAATCCTGAGCCAGATGAGTCCAGGCAATACCACCATATCCTCTTTCTCTAAAACTCATTTTAATATTAATAGAGTACACACTTAACAGTTCATAAAAACTTACCACTCTGAATCACCGAAATTTTCACTAAGAACGAAACACAAAAAACTAAAATATAACGTTTTGAAAAGTCCATGTTTGTCTTCAAGTACCGGAGTTCGTAACGAAACTGAGGCTACATCTTCGAAGAGAAGTGTCTTAACATAAGCTGACGACACAAACGAGAAGTGGTTATCCTTGCAATATGATGACTGCAACTTCGTGCGCCTTCCCTTTTTGTTTCGGTCAAGTCTCCTTCGACTGGACCTTAGTCCTGAACACTCTCGTGTTACCATGTAAACACAGCCTTACACTCAACAGGTCTGTACCTGATCATGTACTGTGTAACTCTGCAGACGTATTCACTCCTGTTTTAGTGAGATCTATCTGGAACTGTTGTGTAACCCAATCTATCGTGTTGTGTAACATGGCTTGCAGGCTTACGTTAATGTATAAATTTAAATTAATGTTACATGAGTAACTGAACAGAGGATATCCATGACGAAGACCATCCGTTCATTAAGAAACTAGGGTGGGTTTTTATGTCGAATGCCTCTGGGCTCGCACTGCCCCGGGCTGTTACACTTTCCGCACCACTTCCGCCGAGCAGCCACGTCAGAGACGTCTAACGAAGCTTTGACCTCAATATTCATGTTATGGTTCAGAGATCTGGATGCGGTAATCTGAGGTAACCTGAGTTACATGGCGGAGTGCGCTTAGTACAGTTCTGTTGTTGTGCTTGTTACTTGATAGAGAGTTTCCTTAACTGATATATCGTTTATTGGTTCATACAAACGCAGTAGCTCAGTTGAGTACGTAATGCTGTATCGCTATGAACTGGGATGTAGATAAAACGAAGCAGCAGAAGCAAGTGTAAAGTTGTTCCTGTGCTTAACCAATTAAGCATTACGCCATGAAGGCGTAAGGGGAGTGGATGTAAAGATATTAATTTTCTTGACCTCCGTAATAGTTGGAGGTGAGTGGTCAGCTACACACCCTGACCGCTTTATCCCCGGGGAAAGAGGCCCCGGTACACGTTGGATAGAAGGCTGATTGGGCCCCAGAGCCGATGTAGAAGATGTGGAAAACAGAAAATTCTATATCCTACCGCGACTCGAACCCTGACTTCTCGGTCGTCCAGCACGTAGCCAGTCTCTAGACCGACTGCGCTATCCCGGCTGAGAGGCAGAAGCTCATTTTAAAACAATATTTCCCTAATTTCTTGGACATGCTGAGGAAAACCAAGATAAATCTCAGCAGGTTAAGTAGATGTGAAACAGGGGTCCCGAGTAAGGGGACACAGTAACCTGTATACTATAGCGGATATCGAATAATTGGCTGAATTATCTGTAGATTATTTAACGACGCTTTGTCAAGATGAGATTTATGAAGCCCAGAATCAGCAGTGAAACGTGGGGAACTGCAGGCCATAAGACAAGCTCTTTTGTGTGGTTCTTTCTTCCTAAACTAATGTCTTGATAATCATTCTTCTTGTTTGTCGCGGACAGACGAATGTGCTCCAAGGCCTTCCGTTTTCCGGCTTCGAGATATTATTTATAAGCATTTGGTAAAAGTCCTTGGAGGGGGATGAGCCCGTCGCAAGGCGTCTGCCTACACGGGATAAAATAAACAGAGAAAAACGCGCATAAATGTCCATGCTCCTAGTGGGCTTCGAAGCCATTACGTTAGTGCTGGAGCTGTAGGAGTCATTCCGCGCCTTAGAATGAGAGCGGCCACTGCGACTGGCCGTGTAGCAGGACTGCTTCTTCACATTCAGGTTCCTAGTTACAAGTGACAGACATCCTGCTTTTCCTTTCTGAGCAGGTATATACACTCTGCAGTGACAAAATGCCATCAAATAAAATAATAAATATAACTAACTGATTTCATGGAGCCGAGCTTTTCTTGAGAAGCTGCCAGTCGTGCAGCTACTCAACGACTTATTTTATGGAACCCGAAGGTTTATTACCGTGTTCACAAGAGCCGTCCACTGGTCCCTATCCTGAACCAGATCGATTTAGTCCATACCATCCCATCCTGTCTCTCTTAAGATCCATTTTAATATTGTCCACCCACCTACGTCTTGGTCTTCCCAGCGGTCTCTTTCCTTCTGGCTTTCCCACCAATGTCATATATCTATTCCTCTTCGTCCCCTATTGTACTAAATGCCTTGCCCATCTCATCAACCTTGACTTGATCATTCTAATTATACTTGGAGGAGAGTACAAGTCATCAAGCTCCTCATTATGCAGTTTTGGAAGTAATACACGTATATATATATATATTACTTTAATGATAATAATTATAAACTCCGCCATAGCCGGAGAGGAAGAGCAATAACCTGACAGTACACTGAAAGGGTCCCTGTCTAGGGTTACAGGACTTGCTGCCTTGCAAGAGGGATATAGGAACGCTAAGGGCTAGGGATATGAACCCTGAAAGAGAATCCTGGTCCTCCACGTTGCGGATTGATGCGGTGGGTCAGTTTTTGCAATGGGTAGGGACCCATTGCAAAAACTTACACCGAAAGATACAGAAAACGGA